GCAAACCAGAGAACAAAGACAGAGCAATAGAAACCAGATTGCAAGACTGACTTTTCTCGGCCAGGCACCATGGCTTATGCTTGTAATCCCAGCACTTTGGGAGGCTGTGGTGGGCAGATCACTTGAGGTCAGGAGTTCCAGACCAACCTGAAAAACATGGCGAAAGCCTGTCCCTACTAAAAACACAAAAATTAGTCAGGTGTGGTGGTGCACTCCTGTACTCCCAGCTACTTGGGAGGCTGAAGCAGGAGAATCACTTGAACCCTGGTTGTAGAGGTTGCAGTGAGCCAAGATTGCACCACTGCACTCCGGCCTGGGTGACAGAGTGAGACTTTGTCTCAAGAAAAAAAAAAGAGGGTTGACTTGTCCAATGGAGATCACTTGGCTTCTGTCCTCAGCCACCCCAAGGCCTGCACAGAATGGCCATGATGTCAGGGATGGAGACTACAGGTAGGAACCCAAAACTGTTTGAGCTTCCTTTCATCATGGCTGACCTAGCTACTGCCACTGCTGAACACTTAACCTTCCAGCAGCAGAGACTGATGCTGAGCCCTTGACTTGGCACAGTTCTTAAAAAAGACCAGCAAACCAACTGCCAAAAGATCTATTACATCATATCCTTTCCTCTCTGGAGGAAGCAGTGTTTCAACCTCATAAGAATTTTCCTTCCCTGATTTCAGTGCAGCATCACCATCTGAGGGCTTACAGAGTAAATGATTTACTGACGCAGGACACCATATCACCTCAGATCACGAGCCAACTTGATGGTAAAGGGGTGTGACATGGGCACGTGACCATAGGCTCCACTGGTCCTAACATATACCACATTACCCAAAAGTATCCTATCTAACCAGGTGATGAGATGGTATACTAAAAGCTCAGCTAAGGTACCATCTTCAGGGCCCCGTGCAAGGTGGGACGCTGCCCTTTAAGATGAAGTACAGACATTGAATGAATGGCTGGTGTATAGTGTTGTGGCCCCAACAGCTAGAGTGTGTGTATCCAGCAACTAGAAAGACTGGCTACATGCAATATTATTCTCATAGGCTCATTGTAGCATTGGTGCTTCTCCTCTCTACAATCTTAGACTCTGCTGGAATAGAGGTTCTGGTCCCCAAAGAGGGAATACTTCTACCAGCAGGCACTGTAGGGCTCTATGATTACCACATGGTCATTTTGGGGTCCTCACGCCAGTGAATGAAAAGGCCAAGAAAAGAAGAGGTAACTGACCTGGATTCGTGGGTAGAGCTGGTATGGTTGCTACACGAGTGGAGTAGGAAGGAGTAGGTCTGGCATCCAAGGACTCACCAGACAACCCTGGGTGCTTCGATCCCAGTGCACCTGCTGGTGGAGATCTGCAGCAGGCACAGCCCATCAAGGTAAGGCAACTAAGGGCCCAGACACCTTGGGGAGGAAGGTCTGGATCACCCCCAAGGCAAGTGACTGACAGCAGCCAAATGCCGGCTGAGAGTGAAGGAATCCAGAATGATCGGCGGAAGAGAGAGGTGAATATCAGTGACAACCTTGGGCTGTGGCTAAGTCCACCGAACTCCCTTTCCATAGAGACTGAGTTGGCTGCTGCTCTGAAAAGTCTGTGAGTCCCCAGGCTCAAGCAAAGCCAGAGCGGAACAAGAAATGGACCTCTCTGTGGTCTTCCTTATATTTTCTCTACCCACTGTTTATTCCAGCCATTGCTGCAGCCACCAATTTCAAGCAAGTACCACCTGTCAGTACCTGGCCTTGGCTACACAGCTCTGTCTTGTATTCTGCCCTGAGGCTGCAGTATGACATGCCCATAGGAGGCTTCTGGAGCTAACACCCCATAGGGCAACCCTTGACCACCAGGTAATGGGAGTCAGTGGATTACCTTTTGCCTCCTCTGGGAGACAGTGCTAGGATGGCTCTTCAGGAGGTCCCAGTAAGATTGAGCTCCAGTTGCTCACAGTAGTGTCTGGCTTGAGGATGTTCTCTTGGACCAACTTTCCCTCTTCCCTATGGAACTTTCTCCAGACTCCCACTCCTGTTCCTGTCCATGTGTCATGTCCTGGAATAAATCTTCTGCACACAAACCTTTGTCTCAGGCCCTGCTTTCCGGGAGAAACCCAAGCTAAGACAGTGTTATGGGCTAAACTGTATCCTGCTTGAAGTCCTAATCCCCAGAATGTGACCTTATTCAGAAATCAGGACACTGCAGATATAATTAGTTAAGATGAGGTCATCCTGGAGGAGGCTGAGTCCCTAATCTCATATGAGTGGTGTTCTTACAAAAGGGATGAATTTGGAGACAGACACACGGAGAACACCATGTGAAAGCAGAGATGGGGTGTGATATGGTTAGGATCTGTGTCCCCACCCAAATCTCATGTCTAACTAGTCCCCAGTGTTGGAGGTGAGTCCTGGTGGGAGGTGACTGGATCATGGAGACAGAGTTCTCAAGAATGGTATAGTACTATCATCTTGGCACTCTCCTCCTGATTGTGAGGGAGTTTTGTGAGATCTTTAAATGTGTGTGGTACCTCCTTCTTCACTCTCTCTTGCTGCTCCAGCCATATGACAAGGCTCCCCCTTTGCCTCCCGCCATGACTGTAAGTTTCCTAAGGCCTCCCCACAAGCCAAGCAGATGCCAGCATCATGCTTCCTGTACAGCCTGCAGAACTGTGGGCCCATTCAACCTCTTTTCTCTATAAATCACCCAGTCTCTGGTATTTCTTTGTAACAATTCAAGAATGGATGAATACAGGTCATGCATCTACAGTGAAGGAACATCAAAGAGTGCCAGCAAACCACCAGAAGCTGGGAGAAAGACCTGGAACAGACTCTATCTCACAGCCCTCAGAAGGAGCCAACCCTGCTGACACTTTGGTCTTGGACTTCCAGCCTCCAGAACTATGAAACAATAAATTTCATTCGTTTAAGCTCCCTACCCACCCCAGTTTGTGACACTTTGCTATGGCAGCCCCAGGAAACTAATGCAGACACCACACTAACTTACTCCACAAAAATCCCCAAGGCACTCAGGAACTCACAGCATCTACCTCTGCAGCTGGAGATAGAGTATGCTATGGGGGGAGCGGAGGGAAGAGGATGCAGGCTATTAGCAAAAGAGAGTGAGGAAGGCTCTTCCAGAAGTTTTTAGATCCCTAGATCCCCTCCCCAACTCCACAAGGCAGGTCTCTATCCTTTTACACTCCAGCAGAATTCTGACAGTGTATTCTCTAAACAGGGTAAAACAATGGATCTTTAGATTGACAGATGTCAGACTCAGTTGACGGCATAGCTACCATACTAAAGCATGAGTATCCGATGACAGGCTGCTATGAGTCCATTTTCACATTGCTGATAAAGACATACCCAAGACTGGACAATTTACAAAAGAAAAAGGTTTAATGGACCTACAGTTCCATGTGGCAGGGGAGGCCTCAAAATCATGGTGGAAGGCAAGGAGAAGCAAGTCATGCCTTACATGGATGGCAACAGGCAGAGAGAGCTTGTGCAGGGAAACTACCATTTTTAAAACCATCGGATCTCATGAGACTTACCCACTATCAGGAGAACAGCACAGGAAAGACCCACCAGCACAATTCAAGTATCTCCCACTGAGTCCCCCCCACATGTGGGGAATATGGGAGCTGCAAGATGAGATTTGGGTGGGGACACAGAGCCAAACCGTATCACAGGCTTTAGCCTGAATGCTGTGTATAGAGAACCTCCACCACAGGCTAGCTGTGTGGCCTCAGACAGGTCACACAACCTCTCTGTGCCTTCAGTTTCCTAACCTACAAAACAGGGAGAATGGTAGCATCTATCCCCTAGGGTTGATATGAGAATTGAAGTCCTTAGCACTGGGCCTGGCACACACATGTTCAGTGAGTGTTTACAGAGGTCCCTGAACCCCTCTTCCTGGGAAGCTGGAGAGCCCTGAACATGCAAAGTTCCCAATCAGTGGGGGAAGGACAGGACCCCAGGCTATGTGCTCACGAATAGAGATCCTACCAGCTACTGATAAAGCAGAGGTCCCTAATTCCCGGGCCACAGACCAGTACCAGTTTGTGGTCTGTTAAGAACCTGACCACACAGCAGGAGGTGAGCAGCAGGTGAGCAAGAGCAGAGCTTCGTCAATGTTTACAGCTGCTCCCCATCGCTCACATTACCGCCTGAGCTCTGCCTCTCTCGGCTCAGTGGCGGCATTAGATCCTCACAGGAACATGAACCCTGTCAACTGTGTATGCAAGGGATCTAGGTTGGGCACTCCTTATGAGAATCGAATGCCTGAGGCTGGGCGTGGTGGCGCATGCCTGTAGTCCCAGCTACTCGGGAGGCTGCGGCAGGAAAATTGCTTGAACCCAGGAGGCAGAGGTTGCAGTGGGCCAAGATTGTGCCACTGCACTCCAGCATGGTGACAGAGTGAGACTCTGTCTCAAAAAAAAAAGATGAGAATCTAATGCCTGATGATCTGTCAGTGTCTCCCATCACCCCCAAATGGGATCATCTAGTTGCAGGAAAACAAGCTTAGAGCTCCCACTGATGCTACATTATGGTGAGTTGTATAATTATTTCATGATATATTACAATCTAATAATAATAGAAATAAAAGGCACAGTGTAATGCGCTTGAGTCATCCAGAAACTATCCTTCCCCTAGTGGTGGGAAAATTGTCTTCCACTAAACCAGTCCCTGGTGCCAAAAACCACAGCCCCAGGGTTGAGATGAGAATTGAAATTCTTAGCACCAGACCAGGTGCACACATGTTCGGTGAGTGTTTACCTTGCCGAGGCCCCTCAACCCCTCTTCCTGGGAAACTAGAAAGCCCTGAACATGCATAGTTCCCAATCAGTGGGGGAAGGGCAGGACCCCAGACTACATACCCACAAATAGAGATCCCCGCAGAGATTGATAAAGAATCTCCAGGCTCAGTCCATAATGAAAAGGGCCCCAGCCACTCCAGCATGAGTCCCAGGCCCTGCCCCAGGCCTGCCCGCCCACCAGGCCCCCTGGCTGACCGTGTTGTTGACCGTGTGCCAGGAGATGTCTTGGATGTCCTTCAGGTGTCCCTGCAGGGGGCTGTAGGAGGCGACGCTCTGGAAGAGATTCTGGTTCAGGTCCCATTGCCACTGGACAATCTCCAGGTGCAGGGCCACGTCCCCTTGTGGGTCGAAGGAGATTTGGTGGTCCAGGAGAGTGAAGTTGACCTTCCAGATCTCCTCAAGCAGCTGGTGGGGTCAGAGGGAAGGGAAGTGGAGCATCAGAATCTGGGCCAAATCTTTTCCTGGACCTGACAAAGATTCTACCATGTCACCAGCCTTGATTTCCAGCTCTGTAATATGGAGGCAATATATCTCCCAAAAGGTAACAGTTTAGGAGTCAGTGGCTGAGAGCTCTGCTCTGGAATCAGACACGTATGGGTTCAGGCCTTAGCTCTGCCTCTTGCTGTGAGGCCTTGGACCTTTTGCTTAACCTCTCTGAAGCCGTTTCCTCTTCTGCAAAGTGGGAGCAATAAAAACTCTACCTTCTGGGCTTGGAAGCAAACAAATAAGTTCATCTATGTCAGGGACTTAGAGCAGAGCCCGAGACTGGAAGCACTCCTTCCAAGGTGCTGATAGGATTTCTTTTCCCTAGAAGTCACCTCAGTCATCCCTCTGGGACCCAATAAATGAGGTACAGAGTCCACTGTCTCTGTCACCTGCAAAGGTCAGCTGGGATCTCCCCTGCTCCCTGGGTCCTTCCTGCTCCCCACACCTTAGGGTCAGCTCTCATTCCCATCTCTCCCTGCTCCCCAGCCCCGCATCACTCTCAGTAGGCAGTAGCCAGGACAAACTAGAGCACACTTTGAACTGGGCATCCTCTGACCTAAGGTCTAGTCCCAGCTCTGTCCGCAAATTGCTGTGTGACTCTGGGCAAGTTTCTGAACCTTGCTGGGCTGACCCTGAAAAAGCTTCCAGCTCAAATATCCCAAGGATCTGGCTCAAGATTTTCCCTCCATATATGGGAATGTTCATTGGGCTACACCTTCAGAGACACACAGACAGACAGGTATCCAAGGTAGTCGGGTCTTAACCTTCTCCCCTCCCTACCCAGCGGGTGAGGTCCTGGCTCAGAAAGACTCTTTGGAATGTGCACAGGTTGCTAGGCCAAGGGCAATGGTCCTTTGAGCTGAGAAGCAGGAGGCTCCAACCAGGTGGTCAGCCTGAGGATGAGGATCAGGATGGTGGAGGCCCCTGGGAGTCAGGCCCTGGGTGCCCATGTCACACTCCTGCAGCGATCTGCCCAAGCAGGGTTGAGAACCTGGGATTCGAGGAAGCCAAGATATCACCCCCAAGGGGTCAGAAAGCATTTATTATTTATTTATTTATTTATTTATTTTTGAGACGGAGTCTCACTCTGTTGCCAGGCTAGAGGGCAGTGGCGTGATCTCGGCTCACTGCAACCTCTGCCTCCTGGGTTCAAGTGATTCTCCTGCCTCAGCTTCCCAAGTAGCTGGGACTACAGTGCCCACCACCATGCCCAGTTAATTTTTGTATTTTCAGTAGAGACAGTGTTTCACCATGTGGGCCAGGATGGTCTCAATCTCTTGACCCTGTGATCCACTTGCCTTGGCCTCCCAAAGTTCTGGGATTACAGGCGTGAGTCACTGTGCCTGACCGGAGCCTAGACTATTATTGGCAGGGGCTTAAGCATCTTGGGGTTCCCCCATTAGGTTGAACCCCATTTCCCCTTCCCCATATAGCCCCACCCCTGCCCCAGTACAGGCTGTACATCTAAGGCAGACTCATGTCCACCTCTCCAGCCCACCACTCCCTCCTGAGGGCAGGACTCGGAGTCTGAGGAAGAAGAGGAAGAGGAGGAGCTCATTCAGCCTCCCCAGGTAATTTGCATACATGATTGCAAATCCCCTCCATAACTCAGCAGGGTATATATGATTCCTTCCATTTAACAGATGAGAAAACCAAGGCTCGGAGATATTACATTTGCCCAAGTTTGCACAGCTAGTAGGGCAGCACTGGGATTCCAATCCAGCTCTGATTGCTGAGCTCTGCCCAGCTCACCACCACCTGCCTCACCATATACGAAAAGGTGGGCCATATCTGAGATGCCCGAGGGGCAGACAGAGATGGAGAGAGGGGTGGGGGGAAGAGCCAGACCAGTGCCAAGGACCCCATTTTGAAATAGAAGGATTGGACCAGAACCTGAGAACCTCGCAACCCTTACCCATCCCAGGCTGTCAACACTGGAGAAGCTGGGGGAGAAGAGGGGCTGCGGTTTCCACTGCCTGTGGCATTTCCTTCTGCTGACTTCCACCTGAATCTCCAAGAACAGACTACCTTGGATGGTGAAGGTTAAATTAATGTAAAAAGCAATTTCTTTTTGGGACCAGGGAGGACTAGTGCTATGTGTCTGGAAGAAAGGGATGCCCATGGCTCCTCACACCAATTTGCCTAGAACCCCAAGGGAGGAGGATGGAGGTGCCCTGAAGTCTCTATGGCAACCACCCCCTGGGGCCCTGACCTGCCAGGGGTAGACCACTCTCTTGGTTCAGGTACTGTGGTCACAGCCGAGGAGGCTGTGCAGGGAGTGGACTCTCTATGATTCAAGTACCTGCTGAACATTTTTACTGGGATGGCCACAAATTTCCCAGCCTGGATTTACCCAACCTCCCACTGATCTCACCCCACCACCATCACCACGGACAGCACATCCGCCCAGCGGCATCTCCCACTCTCCTCATCACCCCTGAGGCCTCTCTCTCTGCCTTGCCTCTCATGGGGTGCCCATCCCCACTACCTCGGCACCATTTCATCACCATCCATCACCACCACCCCCGGCCACTCCCTAGCTGGGTGCCTGTCACCTCTCCGAACCTCAGTTTCACCTGTGTATGGGAGAGCACCCACTTCCTGGAAGTGGGGACCCTCTTGTCCCTCCTCCCCTGTGGTCTGGCCATCGTCAACCCCACCTTGACTGAGTGTTGAGCCCGTCCTTGGGCTCTGGCCCTGTGGGGCAGGCTCTCCCGGGCCCACGGGGTGGACGCTGCATACCAATATGCCCTGTACCGCCTGTCCTGGAGATGGAGCCGGAAGGCCTGCCATGGCGGCTGCGTTGAGGATGCATGGCACCTGCCATGGCGGGAGAGCGCGGGCAGGCGCCTTCCCGCCCCCAGCCCAGGCCCCAGGACAGGTCAGCGCGCCCTGCCCCGGTGCCCACCACTGCCCCTCGTCCACCTTCCTGCCACTTCCTCCTGATTCCCCTGCCACCCCTCCTGCAGCCCTCCCATTCCGTTCCATTCCTCCCTGCCTCTGAGCCCGATGAGCCTCTGCTCATCGGGTATCTGAGGGTAACCAAGAATTCAAATAAAGAGGTGAGCACAGTGTCCGGAACATAATAAGTGCCCAGTCATTCATTCATTCAATATTCACTGAGAATCGACTCCAAGCCAGACCAGTGGCAGCAACTTGGGATACCGCATCGGAAAGGATTGACAAGGTCCCTGCTCTCACTGGCTGTTTGGAAGGTGTGGGGAATAGCCATCAAACAAAAAAAGAAAATCAACGCAGTAACAACTTGGGAAACGTTATGACAAAAATAAACAGTGTCGTGGTGTGACCCAGCGAGGGGGATGGGAGGTAGGAAGGACACCACAGACCATTTTGCAGGTTGTGCCCTGCACGAGTGGGTCCAGTTAGGACAACTGGGAGGAACAGCTGGAGTCCAGCCCGCTCAGGCCACCAAGCCACACTTTGCGTCCAACCGAAGCAAAGAGCATCTTGTTCTAACTTGTCTGCACAAAAGGGCATCATCTTCTAATTCATACAAGGATGTCGTTGATGCCAGCAGAGACCCTGGGCAAAGCCTACATGGGGGGGGCTGGGCTTCCTGTTTCTTGACTTCATCATCCCCAACCACAGCCCTAAATTGGCTTGTTGAGGTGTCTCAAGAACCTCATCTTGGTGCTTGGAACTCTCTATGAACTCCTGCTGCCTCTAGGACAAAGCCCCCTCTCCTTCATCCGGCACTAGATGCCCTCCAGTATCACCTGCACTTCCTGTAGCCTCTCAGTCTTGGCCACATGAGCCCAACCATGTGGCCCCCACTCTCCCCCTCTCCTCCTGGAAGCTCCAGTGCCTGCCCACTCCCTACGTCAGTCCTGCCTTCCGTGACCCTCTCCCACCATGATGACGCCCTGCCCTGTGCACAGCTGCAATTCTGACTTCCTGGTGCACTTGGCAGACATCTCCTCCTAGGGTGGGGGGTCCCCCAGGCCTGCCACATAGTAGGTGCTCAACAAAAGGGATAGAGCACCCTGGTTGCTATGATTGGTGCCCTTTCGTCTCTACTGCTGGGAGAAGGAGAGTCAACTGTCTGTCATCATAGCTCCTGCCAGTTGCAGCTGGGAGGATGCTCAGAAGGTGAAGTGGGAAAACCACAGCAGAATGGGCCAGACCTGGGTTCAAAGTCAGGGTCTGCCACTTACCACTGAACAATCACGAGCTAGTCACTTTGACTTCCTGTCCCTCAGTTTTTCTACCTGTAGATTATCCTCACAGGATGGTCATGAGTTAGATGTGATGTATGCTAGGTATTCAGTGCCTAGTAGGCACTCACAGAGCAGTAAAGCACGCATGATCATTATGTATATTATTAATGTAACAGGACATACAGCAATACACAGCATTTTTACCAACTGGCAGCAGAATTCCTTTTAAAGAATAACTGCAATCTTTTAAAAGAAAAACGTTCAAGGTTGCAAGGTTAGGGTCTGAGGTTATGGGATAGAGAGGTACAATTAAACAGAATGAGAAAGAGAAGTTCTTCAGAGCAAACGAATTTGCTCTGTTAAGGAAGCGAAGAGTTATTTGAGGATGGGAGAGGGATGCAGCAGGTGGGAGAAAGGAGAGAACGAAGAGGGGAGATGGGCAGGGCTTGGGGAGGAGGCTGAGCAAGAGTGGAGGGCTGGCTCTGAACTGTGAAAAGCCAAGCAATTGTTTAAGAACAGAGATCTCTAATAGCGAACTATAAAGTGCGTCGTCTCTCTAAGGTAAATCCCCTCTGCGCCTCTGATCCTCAATAAAACCTTGTATATCCCAGCAGGCTTCGTGGTAGGGGGTTTCTGTGTGTGCCTGTGAATGTGGATGTGTGTGCTAAACCAGAAGAACAGAGCCGAAGTCTCCGTCTGAGCCGCAGTGATAGAGAGCTAGGGTCATGAGAAGATCCATAAAAGCGATGAAAGGCCTTGGAGGGTCCAGGGGAAAACGCAAGCCCATCCTGGACTCCCAACTGCGGAAAGGCTGGAGAGGGGAGGGGGGCTGCTCTTCCTGCTGCCTGTGGGATTTCCTTCTGCTGAATTCTACCTGAATCTCCAAGAACAAACTATCCTGGATGCTGAGGGTTAAATTAATATAAAAAGCAATTTTGTTTTGGGACCAGGGAGGACTAGCGCTATGCGTCAGGAAGAACGGGATGCCCGTGGCCTTTCACACTTATTTGCCCAGAACCCCAAGGAAGGAGGATGGAGGTGCTCTGCAGTCTCGGTGGCAACCACCCCCTGGGGCCCTCACCTGCCAGGGGTAGACCACCCTCTTGGTGCAGGCGCTGTGGTCACAGCCGAGGAGGCTGTGCAGGGCGTGGGCCACGGCGTAGACCGCAGAATACACACTATAGACGATGCGCTCCCCGGAGAGCCTGAGAATGGAGTTGAAGGACAAGGTGGAGTTCAAGCAGGTGTCGCACTCCTGGTTGCAGGTAGACCTCTGGTTGGTCGGCTCGGCCTGTGGGCCCCGCACACGGAACTCGCTGAAGCCTGGGATGGGCACGTTCTGGATGGTGATGCCCAGGAAGGTGCCCGTGCGGTGCAGCCCCATGAGGTTGTGCAGGACCGGGTCGATGGACCAGGACTCGGAGGCAATCCACACGGCGCCTGTGAAGTTCTGGCGCAGCACCTCCCTGAAGAAGTCGTACAGGGTCAGGTCGGGCGAGAACACAACCACGACGCGCGCCGTGCTATGCTGCAGCTTCTCCACGATGCTCACCAGGCGCTGGCGATCCTCTGGCATGATGTCCTGGTTGGGCTGCAGTGTGGGCAGCGTCTCCTGGAAGGCGATGCAGATGTCGCTGCCGACCAGGCGATCGCCCAGCAGCTGGCCATTGTCACGGCCATAGGTGTCGCTGCTCACCAGCACACTGATCCAGTTCCAGTGGAAGTGCAGCATCAGCTGCACCATGGCCTCGATGTGGTGCTTGGCGCTGGGCGCGGTGCGCAGCAGGGCCGGGAAGCGCTGCTTGTCTCGCAGCTGGTCGCTGATGGCGCTGTAGGTGATCTGCAAGGGGAGGGGCCGCGGCATGAGCGAGTGCCTCACTGGGTGCTCTCCCCCACCCCAGGGCTCTATCCACCATCATCGTTCGGAAAGCACCTAGTGCAACCCACCCCAGAAGGAGGTTGTTTACACCATCATGGTCCATAGGTAGCTACATGCAATAAGAACCTATTGTGTGCCGGGCCCCAGCACCATCATGATTATTGAGCACCTACTGTGTACCACGCCCTGGGCCAAGCCATATACACCATCATCCTCATAGTCATCAGCACACTGGCTTTTAGTGAGAACCACATCCTGGGCTAGGTGAGTGACATCCCCATCGTCCCCACTACCTAGAAATTCTTACTGATCACAGTGCTTTCCCCCTCGCCCTCATCACCATCAGGCTCATCAACTGGCCACATTTCTTCCCTCCGTTTCCAGTGCTCCGTGGCTTTCTTCCCAACTCACTGGGTGTCCCATCTCCTTTGCTGGTTCCTTCTCTTCTCTATGACCTCTTAGCCTTGGAGGACTCTGGGCTCAGGCTTCGGTCCCTGTCTCGTCTCCTGCTGCTCTCCCCGTCCCTTGGTGGTCCCATCCAGCTTCATGGCTTCAAATCCCATTTCCACACCGACAACTCCCAATGGACAGCCCTGGCCTGGACTTCTCCCCTGAACTCCAGATGCATACCACACCTGCCTGCCTGATGTCTCGGACTTCACAAATCCAACCCAAAGCCCTGCTCTCCTCTGAGCCTGTTGCACCCACACCTTCCCCCATCTAGGTTGATGACGAATCCATCTTTCCAGTGACGCGGGCCAAAAACTCTGGAGTCGTCCTTTACTCTTCTTTCACACACAGGTCACAGCCGATCCATCAGCAGATCCTCTTGGCTCTACCTTCAAAATGTATCCATCCAGCGCCTGCCAGCTCCGCGCTCCCTGCTGTCCAGCCACCATCACCTCTGGCCTACACTGCAACATGACACACCCACTTTCCCCTACAGTCTACGCTGAACGTGGCAGCCCGTGATCCTGCTCACACGCGTGTCAGGTCACTTTACTGCTCCTCTCAGAACCCCTCAATAGCTCCTAACATCACTCAGGAAAAGCCGGAGTCGTTGAATGGCCCCTAAGGCCTCCAACACTTCTTTGCATAGCCCTCGCCTGTCTGGTTTCATCTCCTTCTCCTCTCTCTCCGGCTCCAGTTCCGCCAACATGCCAGGCACCTCCTGGCCTTGGCATTTGCTAACCTCTCTTCCTGGAGTGCTCTTCTCTTAGATCCCTCCCGGCCCCATCACTCCTTCACCTCCCTCAAGTCTTTGCCCAATTGTCAGTGAGACCCACCTGACCACCCTGTTGAAAACTGCAATCTCCCTCTACCAACTCCTCCTTTCCATCAACGTGCCAGGTCCCCTCTACCCTGCCCACATTTTTATTTTATTCATTGCACGTCTCACCTCTGACATCCTACCTCACTTATTGTTCACACTTATTCTCTGTCTCTCCCCACTAGAAGAGAAGCTCCACGAGGGCAATGATTTCCACATTCTTGCCAGCTATATCCCAGCACCTACAACAGTGCCTGGCACATAGTAGGTGCTCAATAAATATCTGTTACATGAATGAAATAATGAATTCAGTCCTCAGCTAGATGCTTCATGTAAAAGTACTAACATTAAACAGTAACGATCACAATATTCATGACTACCTACTGTGTGCCAAGTCTTTTGCTAGCTGATCTTGAATGAATATGTAGTCTGTACCCATACTGCACTGGGCACTTTCAATCATGATGATGATAATAGTTATAATACTAGTAATAATACAAATAACCCTTTTTTGAGGACCTACTATGGCACAGACCTTGTGCATACCAAATAATATTAGGCACTTCAAGTTTTTATTCCTGTGCAAGATGCTTTATAAAAACATTATTGAGAGGCTGGGCATGGTGGCTCATGCCTGTAATCCCAGTACTTTGGGAGGTCACATCAGGTGGATCACCTGAGGTCAGGAGGTTCAAGACCAACCTGACCAACATGGAGAAACCCAATCTCTACTAAAAATACAAAATTAGCTGGGTGTGGCGGCACATGCCTGTAATCCCAGCTACTCGCAAGGCTGAAGCAGGAGAATCGCTTGAACCTGGGAGGCAGAGGTTGCGGTGAGCCAAGATCACAACACTGCACTCCACTCTGGGCAACAAGAGCGAAACTCCATCAGAAAAAAAAAATTATTGACTATCTACTGTGCGCTAGAAACTTACACAGGTTGAACACTAATCTTCACACAGTTCTGGGATGGAACGCTTATCATCCCACTTCACAGGTGGTGAAACTGAGGCCTAGAAGAGTTAAGAGATTTGCCAAAGGCTTCACTGTGGCCAAGACTCAGTGCCAAGTTGCACAACCAGATCTGTCCCCCAAAAGCCTGAGCTCTTATGCCATAAGCTGCTGCCTTCTCAAGATTCGGGCTGATGTCCTGATCCTGTTTCTGATCCTAGCATCACCTCCCATGATTGATGGAGGAAGTGGCTTCTGAGGCCCCTAGACAGCCATTCCTCTGCCCTCCTCCCCAGGTCCTTCTCCAGGGCCCAGGGGCCTCACCTGTGGAAGGAGAAAGAGGGAGAGGAAGTTGGCCACAGTCATGACAGACTCGGAGTTTTCAGGGCCAATGACAGCCACCACACGGGGCACGTAGTTACTGTAGTCCTCTTGGATGGGAAGGAGGCTGTCCTCCTGTGCCAGGAAGTAGAGCACTGGCTGGACGTTGTTGGAGATGTAGCACACATCCACCATCTCGTAGCCCAGCAGCACATCAGGCAGCAGGCTGCTGTCATTGTTGATCTCCTCCACCGCGAAGCGCATGGCCTGCATGAGGTTGTAGCCACTCACCTTCATTTCATACCTGGAGGGGCCACAGCAGCATGAGGTGGAAGTAGATTCAGAGTGAGGAAGAGGGGGATAAGAGAACCAGCCCACTCCTCCTCCCTGCCACAGGAAAGCCAAGGCATTGGCTGAAAAGGAACCACTCCAGAAGACTCTGGAATTTTCACGTCACTGTCACCATGCCACATCTCTAGGGTCACCATTGCCCATGTGGCCACTACTGACATTATTATCCATGTGGCTGTGATCACTATAACCTCCATCACCACTCTACCAATGTCCACCAATGTGACCATCATTATCCACTATAACTTCCATCATCACCATCACCTCTATCACCATCATCACCCACTATCCCTATTACCAATATCACCACCACTGTCATCACTGTCACACAACCTTGTGACCATCATCACTACCATTATCTCTGTCACCACCACCATCTCTGTCACCACCACCACTATTACTATCAGCACCACTACCATCTCCACCAGTATCACCACCATCATCACCACCGTTTCCACCATCACCATCACTATCATCACTGCCATCACCAACACCATTACCACCATCACCATCATCAGCACCATCATCATCATCACCACCATCACCACCACCATTTCCACCATCACCACCACCATCACCATCATCACTGCCACACCAATACCATCACCACCATCACCACCATCACCATCATCAGCACCATCATCACCACCATTTCCACCATCACCATCACCATCATCACCATCATCACCACCATCACCATCATCACCATCATCACCACCCCCATCACCAACATCACCACAATCACCATCATCACTACCATCACCAACACCATCACCACTATCACCATCATCAGCACCATCATCACCATCATCACCACCACCATCTCCACCATCACCACCACCATCACCACCATCACCACCATCACCATCACCATCACCACCATCACCACTGCCATCACCAACATCACCATCATCAGCACCATCATCACCACCATCACCATCATCACCACCCCCATCACCAACATCACTACCATCACCATCATCACCAACACCAGCACCATCACCAGCATCACCATCAACACCACCATCACCATCATCAGCACCACCATCACCATCATCACCAACACTATCATTGATAGCATCACCATCATCACTGCAACTGTCACCATTATCACTACCAGCACCATCATTACCAACACTATTACCACCACCACCATCACCATCATCACTACCATCACCATCACCACCATACTCTTTATCATTGTCATCATCACCAGTATTACTGTTATCAACATTATCAGCATCACCACCATTACATTGATCATCATCATTACACTCCCCGCCATGATCACAAGCATTAGAAAATCCACACTTGTTCTGGTGCCATCACCTTCACCATTCTCAAGTCAGCATACAATCTTCCCCAATGTCATAAATGATGCATTTCTTATAGTCAACGCTTAATCATCTTTTGCACTGTCCTGCCTTTCTCCTTGTCTCCCACAATACCTTCACCCTCTCTGCAAGAGGTCACTGTTTTATAGTCCCAGGCTGGCTCCATGTCCCAGCCTTCATGCTTGCATGCAGATGCACCCACCCCCCACAATCTCCAAGTGATGCTGCCATCCCAAGGGGCTCGTGGAGGAGGTGAGGGAAGAGGAACTTCCATCTAGGCCCAAAAGCACCCATACCCACCCAACCACAGCCCTTGGAAAATGCAGTCTGAGAACCTGCTACAGAAAAATCACATTCTGCCTCCCAAAGGTTTTTTGAATGAGCTTTGACATGGACCCTTTGGGAGTCCTCCCAGTTGCCAAAGTGGGTAGGGCAGTTTTGATGGCCCTCTAGGCTCAAACATTCTGCAACTCAATTTTTTAAAAAAAATGACATTGAGATGACCCAAACCTCAGTGTTTCAGAACACAATTGCCAAAGATTTTGGTATCACGCACTGTATAAGGCCTTGCTGGGGGCTAGGGGCATGGATCCAGAATAAGGGGGTTGGCAATGAATGGGGAGCAGTGCTCTAAGCCTTTGGTCCTGGCCTGGCTCCCAAGGACCACAGGACCAGCCCTGGCTTCCCACCCCATCCCCACTGCCACTTCCAGCCCCCACTGGAGACTCACTCCTTGCACATGGGCACCTGCAGGAAGTTGAGGTGGACTGTGCCCTTCATGTTGGCATGGAGGGTGAAGAGGCCACCCAGGAGGTAATCCCCCGGCAGGTGGAAGTCCGAGGTCTCAGCCGGCTCAGCCAGGACCCATAGCAGGAAGAACAGGAAGCAGACGGTCCTCACCCTGGGCCCCATGGCTGGGAAGTGATGGTGTCAGGAGGTAGTCCTGCCTCGCTGGAGAACTGGTGCTTGATGACAGTGCATTTGCACAGACATTTACATAGTGATGGTTCTGCCACTGATCGGGGCACCTGGAGCAGATGGAGAGGTTTGGGGCCCAGGGGGAGGAAAGGAGGCTGGAATTATGATGATTCTTTCTTAGAGCACAGTGGGGCTAGGTGGTCTAGGGAAACCCTATTTGGAAAGAGAGGAAGCATCCTGATAACTTAGCTACACCCTAGCCTTCTGCCACTTGTCCAAGGACAAAGTCACGTCTTCCTGACATTTCAAATAGTTCAGGAGCAAACGACATAGGTGCTGTCAGGAGACAGAGTAGTGTGGTCAAAAGCACCCATGCTCTAGAGCCCAGCCAAGTCAGGCCAGGCATGTAGTGATGTACAGGTGTTCAGAAAGTGGTAGCCATTGTCGGGAAGAACCAGGCATCATTTGCCGCTCACCATCTCATCTAAGGCTCACAGTAACCGGGACTATTACTAACCCCATTTCAGAGATGAAGAAATGGAGGCACTGAGAAATGAAGAAACGCAGCCCCGGCTGCGTGACTAGCAGAGCTGAGATTCAAACCACGTGGTCTGACGCCAGGGCTGGGTCCTTCATCACCACACCTCATTACATCACAAAGTTAGAGCTTTCGATTAAAAAAAAGGGACATGGATGAAACTGGAAACCATCATTCTCAGCAAACTGACAGAAGAGCAGAAGATCAAACACCGCATGTTCTCACTCATAGGCGGGTGTTGAACATTGAGAACACATGGACACAGGGAGGGGAGCACTACACACTGGGGTCGGTTGGGGGGAAATAGGGGAGGGACGGTGGGGGGTGGGGAGCTGGGGAGAGATAGCAAGGGGAGAAATGCCAGATGTAGGTGATGGGGAGGAAGGCAGCAAATCACACTGCCACGTGTGTACCTATGCAACAATTTTGCATGTTCTTCACAGGTACCCCAAAACCTAAAATGCAATAAAATAAATGGGGGAAAAAAAAAAACACAGCCGTGACAAAGAGGATGGGGGAAGGAGTTGGGGAGGGAGTGGTCTCGCTCCCTCTGAAGGCTACCATCGTCAGCCTAGAAACACCCTCTCTGGGTCCCAACCCTCGGACCCCACACCAAAGGGCAGGTTTGTTGGCAAAACAGAAAGTTGGAAATTCCTAAATTCAAAGGTGAATACCCGCAAGGAGTCAAAGGTGGGGAGGTGGCTCCACTGAACTAGGGACCCATTTGAATCAGAGACCCTTGTCCACTTAGAGCTGTTTTGTTCCTTTCCAGCCCTAACAACAGGTGGCCGAGCCTTAGGGGACTGGCCACACACCACTCAGCTGGAATGGGTCGGTCACAGGCACGTACCTAGCTGCTGGGCTCCACGGTTCTGATGGGCAGAGGCTTCAAGGTACAAAGAGGTGATTAAAAACCCCGTGCGCTGCCGCTGTCCACCTCCATGTCAGCTGGCCCAGAGCCCCAGCGCTGACTCCACTACCCCATGGACTCTCTCCATGCCATCCACTTTCCACGTCACACCCCCTGCAGACCCTCATCACCCCCTTTCTGCACCTCTCCATCTGCCCCATGCTGTCTGTTTAAAACCCCAAACCACAGCTCTCCGTTCATGCCTCCTCTGCTCTAATACCCCACCCCGCCGTCTCCAGCTGGATCAAGTCTGAGCTCCTTGTCCTGGCATTTGAGGCCTCCCCAGCCTGGCCCCGGCTCACTCATCCTCCCTTTCCCAGCCTTTCCAGCCTGGTCTCTCCTGCGGCATGTGCCACAAACCACAGCCACATTGGCCTCCTTGGATCTGGGTCCCTGGAGGATCTTCCTGGGGTAGCATTCTAGTGACCTCCCAAGACCGTAGACACCCACCCTGCCAAATACCCAGGGGTTATGAGTGGGTCGTAACAACAAATAGCACCTTTCCCGGAGCATGATTTGTCGTTTCTGTTTTGTTTTTGTTTTTGTTTTTGTTTTGTTTTTTTGAGACGGAGTTTCACTCATGTTACCCAGGCTGGAGTGCAATGGCGCGATCTCGGCTCATCGCAACCTCCGCCTCCTGGGTTCAGGCAATTCTCCTGCCTCAGCCTCCTGAGTAGCTGGGATTACAGGCACGCACCACCATGCCCAGCTAATTTTTTGTATTTTTAGTAGAGACGGGGTTTCACCATGTTGACCAGGATGGTCTCGATCTCTTGACCTTGTGATCCACCCGCCTCGGCCTCCCAAAGTGCTGGGATTACAGGCTTGAGCCACTGCGCCCGGCCTTGTTGTTTCTGTTTTTTAGAGACAGGGTCTCACTCTGTCACCCAGGCTGGAGTGCAGTGGCATAATCAAAACTCACTGCAGCCTCGACCCTCTGGGCTCAAGCGATCCTCCCGCCTCAGCCTCCCGAGTAGCTAGGACTACAGGCATGTGCTGCCACACCCAGCTGAGTTTTTAAATTTTTTGTAGAGACGGGGTCTCTTTATGTTGCCCAGGATGGTCGTGAACTCCTGGCCTCAAGCGGTCTTCCCTCCTGTCTGCTAAAGTGCTGGGATGACAGGTCTGAGTCACCGCACCTGGTATGTATTAAACACACCCAGAGTCTACTAAATTCCAGGCATTGTGCCAAGTGTTTTAATGCATTTTCATTTAATTGATTTGCATTAGCATTTAATTCTTACAACTCCCCTTCAAAGTAACCATTTTTATTCCCATTTTTAAGATTAGGAAACTGAGGCTCAGAGAAACTAAGCAACTTTCCAAAAGTCACAAAGCTACTAGGTGGTGAAGCCAGAATGTAAATCCAGGCTGCCCAAGCTCCTAGCCCCCATGCTGAGTGTGTTCTGCCCACAGAGGCTGTCACTGCGCCTCCCATCATGGGGGTTGAGGGATGGCGCTGCCCTCCCTCAACACAGGTCCCGCCCCCGGGGAAGGATTCATTCCCAGTATGGCCACAAGAAGCCACATATGACTGCACATGTCTGTTCTGAATCAGGGAATAAAGATGCTGGGAGCTGGGAGGCCCTGGGGTGTTCTGGAGACTTCCAGAAAAGCCACATTATTTGGCAAAGCTTAGGGGTAAGGGGATGGCAGAGAGATAGAGCATCTAAGTTAACTGGGAACCCCAGGATGTAGCGCTGATCTCAGGGCACCCCTTTTCCTGCCCCGACCACTCCTGGGGCGGAGTCGTCCAGTGGGCCTATAAGACAACAGCGGGAGGCCTCCTCGTGCTGCAGGAAGAGGCAGAATTGGCTGTGTGATCTGGGCCTGTCCCTGCCCCTCTCTGGGCCTGGGTAAACCAGTGGATGGGAGCTGGGGACGCATAAAACAAAAGGAAGCGCCCTGCATGGAGTGTTTGGACATGTGGGCTCTGGGCCTGACTCTCCCTTCTTTGGGTCTGTTTCCTCCTCTATAGAGTGGGGAGGCCCTCTTTGCACTGCCTTTATCTGCCTCTGTGTCAGTCGGCCCAGAGCCCCAATCTCAGGTTTTGGGACAGGGAGGGTGGTATAGGACAAGAATGTCTGGGCAAGCCATCCATCCAGCGGGCACTGGCTGAGCCCACCGTGTGCAGGTTTACTATCCAGAGACAGAAACCAGGGCCCTGGTGAGGGCAGTGCACGCTGGAAGACAGCGGGGAAGCAGGCCACATGTGATGTATAGTGTCAGAGCCAAGGGAGCCTACAGAGACCCACAAGCCTACCCATTGTACAGATAGGGAAACTGAGGCCTGGAGAGAGGCAGTCACCCAAGCCTGGAAAGGCAGGTTGACTTTCAGGGCCAAGTTCTTTCTGGGCCAAGTCCAGAAAGGCAGATTTCTTTCTGGAACAAGGGGCTAAGGCTGGGATTTAAGTCCTCTGCTCTAATGAGGTCAATCCAAAGTACATCAGGACAGTGGGTGATGCCACCGGGATGGGGTAAAGAGGAAGGAAGCACCAACCAGCCAAGAGCTCCTTAGGGGAGGCAGGGTCTGTGCCGTGTAACATGGGACAATGAGGGTGACAGTGAGCACGGCGATTTCTGTTGTTAACATGATTCAAGGACTCACTATCTGCCGGGCGCTGCACTGAGCCCCTTGCCATGCTCTGCCACCCTGTTTTAGTCTACCATTTTTTGTTTTTTTGTTTTGTTTTGTTTTGATTTTTTTTGAGATGGAGTCTTGCTCTGTCACCCAGGCAGGAGTGCAGTGGCACGATCTCAGCTCACTGCAACCTCCGCCTCCTGGGTTCAAGCGATTCTCATGCCTCAGCCCCCTAAGTAGCTGGGATTACAGGTGTGTGCCACCACACCCAGCTGATTTTTGTATTTTTAGTAGAGATGGGGTTTCTCCATGTTAGCCAGGCTGGTCTTGAACTCCTGACCTCAAGTGATCCACCTGCCTTGGCCTCCCAAATTGTTGGGATTATAGGCATGAGCCACTGCACCTGGCCTATTCTACCTTTTAAGGTGTTACTAGCTCCCCATTTTGCAGAAGAGAGGAGATAGAGGTTCAGAGAGGATCAGTAACTTACTCAAAAGCACACAGCAAGTATGCAGATTGGAACAACCCATGACCCTAATGGGGGCTAATGGGAGTGGTGGAGACTCAGGGACTCCAACAAGGAAGAAATAATGGGGGTCCCACTGACAGGGAGAGCTTTTTAGCGTGGGCTGTTACTATGGATAGATGGTGTCTCTGAAGACTGAAATCTGAAGTCGCACTGGACAGAGAGTCAAAGTCCTGGTCCAGCTCCACCCCAACCTATGACGCTGCTCTTGAGCAAGTCACTTGCATTCTCTGGGCCTCACCCTCCCCATCTGTAAAATGGACTACGTGCTTCTTAATGGATTGGGGATAAGCGTCCTTTTGAGCTTCTGATGAAAGCCCTGCACACCAACACACCTTCAACAAACGCAGCCATGCACCCACATCCAGGGCATTGCCAGCCCTGGAGGCTTATCTGAGAACTCTGGGCTGAGATGATCTCCAAGGTCCCCTCAGGCCCTGATATTACCTAGGAGGGGCAAGCGGAAGCTGTCCAGAGCACCGGCTTCCCTGAGGACAGATGTCTGGGAATGCCATGGGAAGGCCTGGGAATATCACTGGAATTTTCCTTCAGTGTCGCACACATAGCACGTGCCCCAGTGTGGGTGGACACAGCGCAGGCCAGCCCCAGCCATCACCCTCACCGCCTGGTCCAGGGCCTGCGGTCCCCGTGTTCATACCTGTGTGGCTGCCAAGGTGATGAACAGCCATGACACACTTATGCAAAGTACACGGGGGAAGGAGAGAGGGGAGAGCTATGGAAACAGCCAGACAGGAGCTGCCCATTTGCCTTGGCATCTGCTTACCCTAGGGCTCACGGAAAGGAAATGAGCATGTCAGCTGAAAGGGGCTGCTTTGAACGTCCTTCCTCCTCCTGCCTTATGGTTAGATGGGGGCTGGGGCACAGGGGAAGCCCCAGGAGGGGCCTGACCCTAAGGACTGGGGGATGCAGCTTCTGACTCTCTCATCTGTCTCTGCCTCTCTACTTGCAAGTCTCTCTATTCGCTCCTGTCTCCTCCTTCCCCACCCACCATTCCCTCTCTCTCTTCCTCCTTCCCCACCCCATTCCTTCTCTCTCTTTCTCGCCAGCACTCCATACTCCAGGAAAAAACTGGGCCACTAGAAACCCACCTCCAGTCTGGCTTATGATGGGTAGGGGGTGGGCACGCAGGGCCACCCCAGGACAAGTCTGGGAGATGGGCAGCCCCTAAGCCAACCTGCTTGGTTCAGAAGCACCTTGGAGGAGGGTTGCTGGGAAGGCCTCAAAGCCAGGTCTCAGAGGACCCAGCCTCATCAGCACTTCTTACCCGACTCCTATGAGACAAGAAGTCCAAGGAGCGGAGTGGTGTGGGCTCCTAAAGCCAGGAAGCCAGGGGTCAACCAAGCCCTGAGGAACTGACCCTGCCATGGTTGGGATATCCTTTTGTACCCAGGGATCCACTCAAGCCTCCTCACCAAACTTTGTTGAGTGACGTTGAACAGGTTGCCTCTCAACCAGAAAAAGAGCTGGAGGTCTTAAATGACCACAAGCTCAATAAGAGTCAACAGGGTAACAGTAACTAAAGCCTAAAGGAAGGGAATCAGCTTTTATGGAGCCTCTGCAATGCTTTCAAACAGCACTGCATCTGCTCGTCAGATTTCTATGAAGGACCTTTTATCCCCATTGTACAGATGAAGAACCAGAGCTCAGGAGGTAAAGTGGCTTGTCCAAAGTCACTGGGAATTGACTTTTTTTCCACCTCCTGGGTTCAAGTGATCCTCCTGCCTCAGCCTCTTGTGTGGTCGGGATTACAGGTGCACACCACCACAGCCAGTTAATTTTTGTATTTTTAGTAGAGACGGGGTTTCACCGTGTTGGCCAGGCTGGTCTTCAACTCCTGATCTCAAGTGATCCACCCACCTTGGCCTCCCAAAGTGCTGAGAATTTAACAATGTAAATTTGCATTTATCATTTTTTTTTTGAGTCAGAGTCTCACTCTGTTGCCCAGGCTGGAGTGCAGTGGTGCAATCTTGGCTCACTGAAACCTCCACCTCCTGGGTTCAAGTGAGTCTCCTGCCTCAGCCTCCTGAGTAGCTGGGACCACAGGCATGTGCCACCATACCTGGATAATTTCTGTATTTTAGTAGAAATGGGGTTTCACTATGTTAGTCAGGCTGGTCTCGAACTCCCGACCTCAAGCGATCCTCCCACATCAGCCTCCCAAAGTGATGGGATTACAGGCATGAGCCTCTGTACCCAGCTGGGACCCTCAATTTTAGCCCTAGTGAAAGGGTGGGGTCTATGACTCTGCGGCTCTTGACTATAAGGCTCCGATCTGACTCACTGGGGTTCCAGTTGTGGCTCTGCACTTGCTGTGTGGCCCCTTTCAGGCATTTCCCCGGCTGAGTCTCACTCTCCCTCCAGTGATACCTGCCCCGATGCACATCCTGAAGCGGGTGCCCAACAGTGCCTCTGTGGACCAGATGCTCAGGGGCTGAGGGCAACTGCCTGGGCACACAGAGCTGAGGGAAGCACGGCAGAGGTCTGGAACAGCCTTCTGCTCTACTTTGGGTGACCAAGAGCCATGTGGTACCTGCTCCATCATCCAGCGTGGCTGGCAGCCACCCAGGCACAGGACAAGGCTGGCTGGTCGTGTTCAGAGCCATGACAGCAGCGGTACCTCCTCCCGCCCATGCACAGACCGCCTGGAAGGATGGAGTCCCACAAGGGACAAGGACAACGGGTTGCTGGTGTGGTCATCAGAAACAAGTGCTGCTTTTGCCCCTGCCCCTTACTAAGCAGGTCTCTCCTCACCTCCGTAAGCCTCGGTCGTCATCTGTGAAATGAGGCTAAAATACTAGTTCACAGAACAGTGTGGTCCAAGAGAATTCGTAGGAACAACTGGCCTATTAATAGGTGCTCAGTTAAACCTGGCTTCTCCTCTTTCCTGGGAACTCACATACCTAGAATGAAGAAGTATTGAGGTTGAAAATTAAAAGTTCACATTGACTGGGCATCTCACCCTGGCAGGGCATGGGATGCAGCATTTTGTTTTTAAGTATTTCGTTTGGTCCTTAGCTCCTGGAGAAATCTGAAGCTGGGAGGTCAGAGCACAGGAACCAGGGACTAAGGCTGGGGTTTGAGCCCAGCACCTGTCCAGCTCCAGGGCACCGGACAGTGGTGGTTGTGGCCAGGAGCTTGGGAGTCAGAGATGTGGGACTGAAACCCAGCTTGCTCATTTCCTCCTGGTATGTGAGTTACTTCACCTCTCGGTGCCACTGTTTCCTCCTCTGTAAAATGGGAGTAACAGCACCTGCTTTATGGGGCTGCTGTGGGGATCCGAGGCCATGATGTCTGAAGCATTTAGCCCAATGCCTGGCACACAGCCTGTGTTCAAGCAATGATGGCTCTTGTTATTTGCTTATCTGGCCCCTAAACAGAACATCCAGCAAATAAGGCGATGAATTTGGTGGGGGGATGAATTAGTGAAAATGAAGACTTCCTGGAGAGAGTGGGTGTGCCTCCTGCCGCTTCCCCTGACCACCCCCAACCCCCGCCACCCAGGAGCTCCTGGTCAGCCTGGTGTCCTGCAGCCAGCACAGGTGGCCCCTCATTTCCTTAGCGGGCATGCTCCACTGGCAGCCCGTGGGACAGCGGTGGCACGGCCATCCGGCCTCAGTCAAATGGTTCATGCTCCAAGCCCAGGGTTGCGGCTGGGCCCCTGTCCACAGCAGGGAAATGAAGGGGCTCCTTGGGCCACCACAGACATGGGGACTTATTGTGATGACCATGCAAAGAAGCCTCAGGTCCCTGAGCAGGCCCTGGGCCCTCAAGAGCCGCCAGTCCCAAGTCTGGGGGATGAGGGAGAGGAGAGGGAACAGGGTGAGCCACAGCTTTGAGTCACCCCTGGTTCAAAAGGAGGCACAGGTGGCAGGTGGGGGAGGGATGGGTGAAATAACTGTGGGAGAGCAGGAGCTTGGAAGGGGGGGGCCCGATGGAGCAGGTGGTGAAGAACAGGGACCGTGGGTACCCACAGACCCGGGGGCAAGCCCCCGTCTTCCTCCTAACGAGCTGCATGACCTTGCACTAGTCATTCTGCCTCCAACCTTCATGAGCCCCGCCACAGTTACCTGGTAAGGTCGCTGCCAAGACTCTAAGCAACCAGGCAGGTAAAGCACTTAGTAATTAGCCACCTCTGTCTCAGTGTGATCTCGAGCAAGTCACACCATGGGTTCAAACACATTAACAGCCTGCCAGTCCCTCGACTCTACATGCAGTTGCCACCATTCCCTTCAGTGCTCCAGCCTAGGGCACCCTGGGTGTTGCCTGTTGTCCCTGGAGGTGTCAGTGTGGTTTATAAAACAGCCCCTTTTACGTCATGTGCAGGTGGGGACAGGCCAGGTCACATTTTCCCCCACTCCACAAGTCAGCTGGCCTGCCCAGGCCAGGCCCAGACCTGGGCTCAAGCTAACTGGCCACAGTGGCTCCTCCCGGTCATTTGTCTTTCCAAGGCAGCTCAGCACCAGCTGTGGGCATCTGGGTGAAGGAGAGAGAACGGGCTGTGAAATCAGACAGACCAGGGTTTCCATCTCAGCAATACCATACCCCAGGACGTTCCCCTGACCTCCGTACCTAAATTTCCTTATCTGCAAAATGGAAGCGTGGCAGAATTTCCTCCCCCAGGCTGTTGTAAGGAACCCCACAGGGTCTTCAGCACATATATTCGTCAGGGTCCTCCAGAGACACAGAACAGGAGCAAGAGAGAGGTTTTAACAATTGGCTGAAGTTCGTGTCCTTTGTAGGGACTTGGATGAATCTGGAAACCATCATTCTCAGCAAACTGACACAAGAACAGAAAGCCAAACACTGTATGTTCTCACTCATAGGTGGATGTTGAACAAGAACACGTAGACTCAGGGAGAGGAGCATCACACACTGGAGGCAGTTGGCGGGGGGTAGGGGAGAGACAGTGGGGGGGGGGGAGGGAGGAGAGGGTGGGGAGGGATAACATGGGGAGAAATGCCAGATATAGTATGCACCTAAAGTAGAATAAATAAATTTTAAAAATAAATAAAATTAAATGCTGTTAAAAAAAAAAAAAAAAAGAATTGGCTCATGCGATTATGGAGTCTTACTAAGTCCAAAGTCTGCACAGCAGCCCAGCAGGCTGGAGGCCCAGGGAAGAGTGGCAGCTCTTCCGTACAAGGGTAATCTCCTGGCAGAACTCCTTCCTGCATGGAGAGCTCATTCTTCACTCTATTAAGACCTTCAGCTGATTAGACCATGCCCACCACAGGACAAACTGTCGCCTGCCTTGCTTTTTACTTTTAAAACTCCACTGAATTAAATGTTAATCTCACCCAAATACACCTTCACAGAAACACCCAGAATGTTTGACTAGAATGTCAGCTCACTGAAACCTCTGCTTCCCAGGTTCAAACAATTCTCCTGCCTCAGCTTCCCTGAGTAGCTGGGATTACAGGTGCACGCCGGCATGCCTGGATAATTTTTGTATTTTTACTACAGATGGGGTTTTCCTATATTGGGCAGGCTGGTCTTGAACTCCAGGCTTCAAGTTATCCACCCATCTCAGTCTCCCAGAGTGCTGGGATTACAGGCGTGGACTACCACACCTAGCCTTACGGGTAAAATGTTTTAATCATTATGTGTCTGGCACTATTCTAAGCATGTGTATGTATTAACTCATTCAATTCTCATGAGGACCCATGATGTTGCAGTGTGGGTCCACATGAGATAGAAGGTCAGGGAGCAGAGAGGTTTACATAACTTTGTGGCAATCACCCGGCCAGGAGGCAGTGAGCAGGATGTGAACCCAGCAGGGAATTTCAAACATCAGCACCTACTGTTCCTCTGTCACACAGAGAGAGCTGTGCCCGTGACCTGGCGACACCCTGGCAAGGCCACCAGACTTAGAAGATGTTGGCTGCCCCCACCATCCCCTCCAGAAAGACCATCAACCACTCTGATTAAGTAACAGGCATTTTATTGGGTGGTATCAGAGCAAATCCCATTGCCACCTCACAGTGTAGAACCAGCAGAACCGAGACTACTCCAGCCCATGTCCCCTCAGCCACCTGCCCTGGCCCCTCATGGGAAATGACATAGATCCTGGAAAGACACAGAACCCACACCCGGCCCAGGTGGCACCAGCACCCGCCAGTGGCACTTGGGGAATGGCCACACCAGCTCCGGGGGTGGGGGGCCCCCATGCAGCCATCCTGGAGGATGACCCAACACTTTCACAGTCCCCTAAAAACGATCCTTGAAAGTCAACGCTTTATAAATCCCTGACCACTCAGAATCCAACCAGGAGCCATTCGTGGCCACCGATTGGCTGCATCAAAAAAAGAATGGGCCAATGACAGATTGGCCCACACAGAGCCACTCCCACGCAGAGGAGGAGGATTCTACAGGCAACCTCCTGGGCCCAGGCTGGCCAACCCAAGGCCAGGCCTCTGGGGGCTGGGAGAAGGGAGGGGCAGCGTCTACCTCGGCCTGTGTCTCCATGTAAGTCACTGTGGTGGCTGAGCTCCTGCAGGGAAATTCCAGACCCTGGGATCGGCTCTAGGAGTGGAGGTCTCTAGAGGTAGGGCCTGAGGATCTGAGACCCATCCAAAATTTTCCAGAATTACAGCCCAAACCGGCAGAACCACCCCATCCCACGCCTTGGCAGGTAGCCTCCGGTGGGCCCCCAGCCCCACCATGTGGCGCGGACCAGGAATCACACGAGCCTCGGCAGAACACAGGCACCTGGAGAAAGGCATGCCGGCATCTAAGGCGAGTGGCTGAGTACAGGGGCCTCCTGGCCCAGGTGGGTCTGGGCAAGACACAGTGAGGAAAGTAGGCAGCCCGGACCAGAGAGGGCAAGGCCAGCTGATGCCCTCTGTGCCCCACAGTCAGCCTGGGTTACACTTCACCCTGGACACCTGGAGGACCTGGGATCAAGGCCAGGAGCCTCTGTGGGTGGTGAGGTTTGCCGAGGAGCCCAGAGCTGCCTCCTTTTCCCCAAAGGATTCTGAGAGCTGCTCCATCTCCTTTCCCCAGGTCCCTGAGCCACTGGGCCCAGGGGAGGGAAGAAGGAGAACTTGCCAGGCTCCAGGGTCATATCTCCCACACGGCCGATGGGACAAGGGGTAGTGGCCCTGTTCCTCCCCAACACAGTCTCAAACCAGAGCCTGAGGTGTGGGAGAGGCCAGAATACAGTAGTAGCAAGGGGGTCAAGCCCAGGCTCTAGAAAGGCAGCTGTCCATGAAGAAGGAAGGGGTGGAGGGGCTGGAGAGGGGCCTGTGCAGTGAGGTCGGCCGCCTGGATGGACAGACAGGTGGACGGTGGAGGCCCGAGCGGCTCACTGCATATACGCGTAGCTCCAGTCCCCCAGGGGTTTATGTGTCTCCTTGATGACCTGGGGCGACGTCCAGCGCAGGATGTAGTGCGGGCCCCCTGGCTTGTCATTGGTTCCTGCGGAAAAGACACTTCTGTTTCCCTCTGAAAAGACACAACAGCCTGGGCAGAAGGGAAGAAGTGATGGAATCGACAGGCCGGCAGCGTGGGCGGCCAGCAGCAGGCCTGCAACCAAGCTTGGAGCATGCGAAGTCAGGGATGGGTGGGAGACCCTGCCTCCAGTCTCCAGTCTGCTGGGGAGCCTCCGCTGTTCTCTCCACGTCGCACCCTGCCTCCCAGACATCCTTGCGCCCAGCCTTGCATCCTTGCTGGAATGCAAGGATGTCTAGGAGGCCAGGTGCGACGTGGAGAGAGCACTGGACTGAGAGGTAGAGACCTCGCATGGTCCTGGGGCGCCATAGCAAGTACATATCTAGGGTTCATCCCTGGTTCCTAGCCAGAGCTCCTAAAGCTCTTGGGATTTCCTGAGTGACGGGGGTGAAAGGATCATCTTCCGTTATTCATAACAAGCCCCTTTAATCACGCATGAGTTTATGCTAATGAGGGCTCTTGCAGGATGGGGCTGGTTGGCAAAGGAACCAACCCTGTGATTAGAGGCTTGGAAGCTTCAGCCCCAGGGAGGGCAGAGGGGCTGGAGGCTGAGTTGACCCCCAATGGCCAATGATTGAATCAACTGTATCTGTGTAATGAAGCCTCCATGAAAATCCAAAAGGACAGTGTCAGGAGAGCTTCTGGATTGGTGAACACAGCCCACATGCCAAGGGGGTGGCACAGCCCAAACTCCAGGGGGACAGAGGCTCCGTGCTGGGGACCCTTCCAGTCTTTGCCCTGTGTGTCTGCACATCTGGCTGTTTATCTGTGCATTTTCTTTTTTTCCTTTTTTTTTTTTGCGATAGAGTCTCGCTCCATCACCAGGTTAGAGTGCAATGGCGCAATCTCAGCTCACCACAACCTCCACCTCGCGGGTTCAAGTGATTCTCCTGCCTCAGCCTCCTGAGTAGCTGGGACTACAGGCACCCACCACTGCCCAGCTAACTTTTTTATTTTTCATAGAGACGGGGTTTCACCATGTTGGCCAGGATGGTCTCGATCTCTTCACCTCCCAAAGTGCTGGGATTACAGGTGTGAGAGCCACTGTGCCCAGCCTCATCTGTATCCTTTAAAATACCTTCTCGATACACAGGTAATAGTAAGTACGCCTCCCCTGGGTTCTGTGAGCCAGAGTTCAGTATCAAAACTGAAGAGGGCATCGTGGGAACTTCTGATTCGTAGCCAAGTCAGACAAGGTAACCCCGGGCAGTTAGCGCCAAGTTAAACTGTAGGACACCCAGCCAGTGTCCACCAGGAACAGGAGAACTGGTTGGTGTGGGAAAGCCCAGCACACCTGGATTCAGCGCTGGCTCTGCCACTCGGGAGCAGTAGCCTTTGCAGGTCATTGCTCCTTCTGAGCCTCGGTTTCCCATTTGTGAAGTAGAGGCTGTTGGACTTAAGAGAAACTGGGTATGGTATAGAAAGTGTGGTTGCTGGAGCCAAAATTACAACCCCACCAGGCCCATGTGGCCTTGAGCAAGTCACTGCCCTGTGCCTCAGTTTCCTCCTCTGTAAAATGGGAAGAATGGGTCCCTTTGCTCACAAGTGTGCTGAAAGGAGCCTGAGCTAGCCCACTTGCTTGGCCCACAATACGTGCTCAGTAAATGGTGTCCTTCCTGTTACCCCAGCATGCTCTCAAACCAGAGCCTGAGGCGTGGGAGACGCCAGAATACAGTGGTAGGAAGGGGGTCAAGCCCGGGCTCTAGAAAGGCAGCTGTCCATGAAGGAGGGGTTGAGGGGCTGGAGAAGGGCCTGTGCAGTGAGGTTGGCAGCCTGCATGGATAGACAGGCGGACAGTGGAGACCCGAGTGGGGCTCACTGCATGTTCGCGTAGCCCCAGTCCCCCAGTCTTCCTATTTTACAGAGGAGGAAACAGTGACTTGCTCAGATGCAGCATCTAGGGTCTTGCACCAGGAACTCGGCTCCCCTATGGGAAAGGGGACCCACTCACCAGAGGCTCGGGCCCCCCCAAAGGGCTGCTGGCCCACGACCGAGCCGGTGGACTTGTCGTTGATGTAGAAGTTGCCGGCAGCATTCCTGAGCACCTTTGTGGCCTCCTGCACGACATCCCTACAAAGCAAGGCAGTGGTGAGAGCGCAACCAGCTCATCTCCCTCCAGCCCACACTGGCTTTCCAGGTTCAGCATGAGGCCGAGTCAGGGAAGAGGGATGCTGGCCAGCTGTTGGCTGTGGACCTTCGGTCAGGTGAACCTGTCTCTGAGCCCAGCTCCTCCCCTGGGGAGGGGCTTAGCACTCCCCATCGCGGGATTACTGCAGAGTTCAAAGGAGTGGCCCGTCCTAGTCCAATGTTCCTGCCCCTCAGGAGCAGGGGAAATCCCAGCTCCCAAGCTCCCACCCTGCCTCTCTCTCCAAGCCCCTCTCTACTCTCTCATAGAGGCAGATGTGGGGGCAACCAGTGCCACGGAGGAAGGAAGAGGAGAAGCCTCAAGTTTAGCCTCACGGGACCCAGGTTCAAATCCTGCCTCTGCAGCCCCTGGCCTGCCCTGCTCTGCAGCACAGGACAATCACCTCGCTCAGCGGGGCCCCATCAGATCTCACAGAGCTGGTCAAAAGCAACAACTCCCGGCCCTGCCCATAAAGGCTCAGATTCACGGGTGCCCAGTGGCACCCTGGCACCAGTACTGGCAAAAAAGAGCCTGCTGCTGCTGTGGGCCCACATGAGGAGCCCTGGCTGCCTGTCTGGGCTGAGGGGAGGGGACAAAGAGGAGGCGGGGATGGCATTATTACTGGAAGCCATGTCCAGGAGGTGGGGATGGGGTGAGAGCTGGCAGGGACAGGACATCCAGAGCACAGCACCAGGGCTGCAGCCTGGCCACTCACTTATCCTGGGAGAACACTGCCCCCGTGAGGCCATAGCTGGTGGTGCTGTCAACCAGCTGCAGCGTCTCCTTGTACTTATCATCCGGGTAGACATACACAGTCAGTACAGGCCCGAAGATCTCCTAGGATAGAGGTCCCCACGTCAGGTCCTCCATGGGGCCAGGGCATGAGCCCTCCCAGTGCCCCTGCTCTGACTCCCCTCTTCCCAGTCCCTGGGCCTCAGTCCATACTTCAGTATCTGCAAGAAGGGTGAGGTGCTGCCTCCTCCTGGGTTCCCTCCAGGACAGCAAGGTGCCCAGCTCCCTGCCCTGTCCACCCCACCGCAAGCTGGCAAAAGATGCAAACATGTTCTGCCAAACCCACACCCGGAGGACAAAAAGTCCAGGTCCCAGAGGCTTCCGGCAGCAGCTGACATGAGAACTGCCCAGAGATACCATTCTCTCCAGGAGGGTTTGTGGTTCCCTCTGTAACCAAGGGGCTGGGGAAGATCTCCTTCTCGGGCAGACTCCAGCCCTGCACTGCCAACTTGGGCCAGTGCCTTGACCTCAGTTTCTCATCTGTAAAATGGGAACAGTAACGCCCACCACAGTAAGAGTCTGTCAAGGTGAGCCATTATGATTGCTGTGGTGACCATGGTTGCTGTGGGCAGCGGAAGTGCTCGGACCTCAGCCAGGGTCAAGGACACAGCCCTAGATCTGGAGTCGGGCAGCCTGAGCTTAACACCTGACTCCGCTCTCTCCTGGTAGGAGGCATTCATTCCCTTTCAGGGCCTCCCTTTAGAGCCTTATCTGTGAAATGGGAGCATGTCTCCAGGAGAACATGCCGTGCCAGTGGCCTGTGTGTGTGCTGTGCTCCGGTGGGACTGTCCCCCTCTGGGCCCAGGCTGCCCCGGTCACCTCCTTCATGATGGGCTCCTGAGGGTCCTTGCTTTCCACAATGCAGGGTTCCACAAAGTAGCCCACGGAGTCATCACACTTGCCCCCGGCCAGGATGGTGAGGCTGGGCGAGGAGCGTGCGTGCTCCAGCCACTTCTTGATACGGCCAAAGGACTGGGGTGGGCAGGGAGGAGGGAGGTCAAAGGTTCTGGGAGGGCAGCCCCCACAACACACTCACCCCGAAACACCTGTACCTGAAGGGCCCAACTCCTGAAACGGGCAGGGGCGGGGGACACCGAGGGCAAAAGCCAGGGTCTGGCTGAGCCGCAGCGGAGACAAGGACAGATATGCACACCGTGTGTGTGTGTGTGTGTGTGTGTGTGTGTGTGTGTGCGCGCGCGTGTGCTAGTACCATAGGTGCACTCGCATATAAACATAGACACACGCCAATCAATGCATATATAGGCATGTGCACAGTCACATGTCTGTTTAAGCATGTAGGGATCTCTATGCCTTCCACATGTAGATGCATGTGGGTGGACTTATTTACACAGGCACGTGTGTGCTTATATGCAAATGGAGATGTATGTGTTTATATGGAAAGGTCTAGAGGTGTGGCCACAGAGAGCTCTATGTGAACACGTTCATGAATACACGTGGACCTGTGCACATGTGTCCTCGGGCTTCCACCTGTGCACACGCAAATGCCCTGAGGAGCTCGCTGAGCCTGCTTCCAGGGAGGGCAGGAGACGAGCTCCTCTCTGGCTATGGCTGATCCTGCCCTTTCTGAAGCTGGGTGTGCATGTGTGGCTGCTGAGCTGCCTTGATCACAGCAGTGGGGCTGGGTCATCCCCTGGGTCAGGGTCCCCCATATCTCTTCCTCCCTCTCCCACCCAGTCCAGGGCTTGCCCCCTGCCGGGAACGCCCGCTTCCCACCCCATACCTTGGCATCAATCACTGCAGAGAAGAAGGTCCCAAAATCCTCTGCAGGCTGGAGGCAAGGGAGGCGCCAGAAGAGATGAGTCACTGCAGGCCGAGACAAAGGGAGCCCCCTCCCAGCACACCCCAGCCATGGCTGCAGAAGAGCCTCCCGGGGACCCAATCCCATCAGCCCCCCGCTGGGCCATGGCGGGGGGTGACGGAGCCACTCACGTCGCCCACTTTGATCCGGCTGTGCTCCTCCAGCAGCCGCCTTTTGATCTGCGGCCACAGCGAGTGTGGCACGTAGAGGCGCGAGCAGGCGGAGCACTTCTGGCCACCGTACTCGAAGGCTGAGCGCAGGGTCCCGCTCACCACGCTGTCCACATCAGCCGAGCGGTGCACGAAGTGGAAGTTCTTTCCGCCACACTCTACAGGGGCCAGGGGTGGGGAAATGACCAGGGGAGCCGGCTCCCCCAGCTGTCCAGGGGCCCAAAGCACCACCTGCGCCATCCATGGCCCAGGACCAGCCCTAGCATGGAGCAGACCAGAGAGGGAGGAGGCTCAGAGTGAGCACCAACTGACACCCCAGAGACCCGAGGCCAGGCCGTTCTCCCATTCCGCAGATGAGGAAACTGAGACCAGGGAGGGGTGAAGGGCATCAGAAAATCAGGTCCAACCGCCCCATTACACGGATGGGAAAACTGAAACTACCCAATGTAAAGGCAGAGGACGGATGAGAACCCAAGGCTCCCAAGAGCTAGTCCATTCCCAGAAGTGGGCACAGCTGTTTGTGGGGTTCTCCCAAGCCCTCGCCTACAAAGGAGAGGGGAGCCCGCCCCATTTTGGCTGCCAGGGCTGGGCCCCTCCTCCCCACCCACAGTGAAAACCACTCCCCCATTTCCCCAGTGAGGGGGGAGCTTCAGGCAGATCACTTCACCCTCCTGGCCTCAGTTTCCTTTCCCCACAGGAAGCAGCAGCTGAAGCACTTACCAGCTGCCCACCTGTGGACAGAGTACCCTGCGCTTTGTCCAACTGAAGCCTCACAACAATCTCCCACTACTATCCCCAATTTAAAGCCAAGAAAACTGAGGCAGAGAGACAAAGTCACCTGCTCCAGGTTGGGAAGCGGTAACACAGCTGACCCTGAGGAGTGCTCGCCTTCCCTGACGCCCCCATCCGAGCTCCCACCAGTCCAGACACAGGATCCAGACTTCCTGGTGGACCCCACTTCACCCCACAGGGAAAAATGCTGAAGTACACGTCCCAGCTCTGCTGGTCACGTCCCATAGCCCTCCCTGCCTCTAGGTCTCAGCACAGTCCCAAAATGTGGTCCACAAAACACTTGGTCCATTGGGGTCTTTGCAGAAACAGGCTTCTGTGTCCCAGTGAGTGTGGGAAACACTGCATGGCAGATTGATGTGCAATGCATGCTAGAGCATTAAAGGCTCTGGGAAGTCCTGCAGGAGGAGGAACCCATTTTGCATTAACACCACACATGCCAAATGTCCTTGACCATGAACCTGTTTCTCTGTGGGAAAATTTTAATATGGCAACAAGGTCCAGCCCTGCCTACCTCTCAGCCCATCTTCTACCAGCCCTCCTCCCTCCCCACTCACAGGCCTCGCTTTGCTTCTTCAAATCCAAGTTCATTCCCACTTCTGGTCTCTGCATCTGCATTTTCCTCAGCTTAGAGCTGCACTGCCCAACACGGCAGCAACCAGCCACAAGTGGCTACTAAGATTTAACTTAATTAAAATGAAAGAAAACCAGACCTGCAGTTCCTCAGTCACACAGGCCACCCTTCAAGGGCTCAACGGCCACATGTGGCTGGTGGCTGCGTATTGGAAAGTGAAGGTACCGGACGCTTCCCTTATCACAGAACGTTCTACTGGAGAGTGCTGGTGGCTGAAATGGTTCATCTTTCTGACTCCTGGCTGTGTCCCCTCTACCTCCCTCCTCTTTTGTGATAGCCAGGGGAGGGGTCCCTAGGGTCACAGGGGAGGGGGGGAAGGGGGCTTACCTCCAGCCAGGCGTGGGAAGGTGCGGTACCTGTCCAGGTTCTGGGCCACCTGCTTCCACAGGTGTTTGAAGGTGCTGGAACCACAGGAGAAAGGATGGGGATCAGGGAGCCAGGTCAGAGGAAGGGGGCTGAAAAACCCGGGAAGGAGCTCGGGGGTGGGGTGGGGGCAGCAGCCCAGCAGGAGGTGGGAGCCAAGTGTGGTGACAGCCGAGAACAGATGGCATTCCAAGACTACTCTAGGGAGGGGCAAAGGAGGTCTGGGCAGCAAGATGGTGCAGAGGAGCTGCACAGTCTGCAGCCAGGACACTCAGGGCTGTGTGATCCTGGGTTCCCTATGTAACCTCTCTGAGCCTCTAATTCTGCGCCTGATCTGGGAAGCAGAGAGAACAATCCCGACCCGGCAGGGTTGTTTTGTGATGAGTTCAAGTGTGAGGCTAGTGCTTAAGACATGCTGGGCACACTGCAGGAGCCTGGCAGGGAACAGACCCTGCTCTGGTCTGCGAAGGATTCCTCCCAACCAGGCCAGCGCCCAGGCCTGAGAGGCCAAACACAGAGAGAGGGCTGGGAGAGGGAGCGCAGGCCCCACCCCAAGCTGCCACCCGGGAGGGCCTCACCTCCTCCCCAGGCTCAGAGTGTGACCAACCTCAGCACCACAAAACAATAAAAATGCTAATCACCCAGGAGCCAGCGACACAGCAGCTAATACTAATTTATGGCCTTCCCACCTTTAAGCCCGCTGCTCATCAGAGCATGGAGAATGGGGAGCCCAGGGGCCCCCGAGGCTGGCAGAGCAGACCTTTTGGAAAACGGCCCTTCTCAGCAATTCTAACGCTGCCACCACCCCACCCTCCCTCCCCCAGGCAAAGCTTCAGGGAAGGGGGTGGCAGATCCTGGGGCCCAGGAGAGGAGGTAAGAAGGACCCTGCACTGCAGACCTGGGCCTCTGGCTGCCTCCAGGCATCTCCACCCAGATAACACCCAGGCGTCTCACAAAGTGACCAACATGGTATTCACCTTCCCCCAAGCCTGCCCGCCCTCCCAGGTGCCCACCTTGAACGTTCTCACTGACTACCCCCCTCATCCCCACCCCGACTCCAGGGCAGGCAACTGCCAGTGTGCCCCCCTGCGCCCTTCTCACCCGAACCTGCCCCTTCTCCGCATCCCCCATCTCTCCCCTGGTTCAAGCCCCTACCTCCCTTCCCTAGAAACTGACAGCTCCTGGCCAGTCTCCTGCTTCAGGTCACAGAGATCATTGAAGATGAGGGTGCAAACACAGGGGCCCAGAGGGGCCAGCAGGGAAAGGAAACAGGGCAGATCCGGTTCATAGGCAGCCAGGGCGCACCCACCCCTCCAGCCAGCAGTACCACCAGCAAACGCAAGATCAGAGCATCCGAGTCCAGGCGACCAAGACAGGCCAACATTTGGATTTACCTATGAAACTGTCCCAATTGTACGAAGTTGGGCCGTCACTATCAGGGCCACTGTCAAGAAAATAGAGCCTCTTGCCAGATCCAATTTGGGGGCCATCATTTCCGATCTCTGCCTGACAGAACTCTGACTCAGCCACTCTCCCTGCTTGAAACCTTCCACGGCTCCCATCACCTTCAGGAGAAAGGCCAGGCGCCTTTGCAGACTCCTAAGGATCTTGTGGTCACTGGACTAACCCCGCACCGCCAACTCCAACCTGAGAGCTGGGACCTTGTCTCTGGTATGTGCTCACCCCTGAGCCTTCTTGTGAGCTGCAAAAATACCTGCTCAGCCAGTCGGTGCATGGACGGTGGACATCAGTAGCCACCTGCCTCCCCACCTCACCTCCAACCATGCCCTGCCCTCACCCTCTGGCCCTGTGACCCCCAGACTCCACGCTCCAGCCACACAGGATCCTGCCACGCCCCAGAGCACATGTTTTTGCCTTGATGATGTTGTATGTACCATTCCCTCTCCCAGCATATATGCTCTTCTGCCCCTTCCCCTCTGTCTGGCCAACTCCTCTGTAAGATGCCACCTCTTCCAAGAAGGCTTCCTGGCTCCTCCAATTCATTCTATACTCCCCTGTGCCCTTCTCAGTAGCAGAGGTAGCACTGAAATCAATATCACCCACAGCTACAGGGTGCAGTTCCAGCCTTCCAAGCTCTTTCCTGTTCATTAACATGTTTAATCCTTGCAATGACTCTGCAAATTAAGGATAATCACTCCCTGTACAGGTGAAGAAATGGAAGCTCAGAGAGATGAAGGAACTCACTCACTGCCACACAGCAAGTCGGGGAGTAGGGTCAGTGCATGACCCCTGGGTTCACAGCCCTACCCCCAGGCAGATACGCGACCAGGGTTGCCCTTGAACCTCCCCTAGCCACCGCAGGCCACACTATCCCCAGGGACTTACGGCACACTGCCTGTGAAGTTGATGCCACAGAGGTGCTCTGAGCTGGTGACAGTGTCCCCAAATAGAGGCCCATCAGCTGGCACAAACTGGATGATGTTGGGGGGCAGGCCAGCCTCCCGGAGGACGCGGTAGACAGCATAGCTGGCCAGCATGGCGGTGTCACTGGGCTTCCACAGGACCACGTTGCCCTGCTCGGGAAGTGTTTTGGTGATGCATGAAAATGGAGCCACCAGCCCTCAGCCCCCACCCCACCCTACAGCATGGTCGGCCCTCACCTGGAACCACCAGACCCTGTGCCAACCAGGACATCCCCTACCCGACCCCACTCCTCCAAAGCGTCTGGCCCTGTCTCCAAAAGTCCCTGCCAGGGAGGCCACGGCATGGCCCCATCTGCCCCATGCTCTGGCCAAGGCTCCCTTTCCCCAGAAGCCTGCACTGACGGGTCCTACCATCACCTGGGCAGGTCTGTTCTTAGTGTTGGAGTCACTGCGTGCTCACTGGGTACGGCGGGGCCAGTGCACACGGGCTCTCTCAGCAGCGTCCTGGGTGAGGGCGTGTGGGTGCCTGGCCAGTCCCATGTTTGTCTGTGCCCCTGCCTATCCCTAGTACTCACCCCGGCATCAGCATCCAGCATCCCCGTCTAGGGCTCAGGGTTCCTGACGGCTATGTGGGCCCTCTGCCACCCAGACTGTCTGGGAGCTGAGCTGCATCTCTCCCTAGGCCTGGAACCTCATCTGATAACAGCCACCCTCACTCTGATAATGGCAGAGGAGTGCCTTCAACACCACCAACCCTGAGAGAAACTAAATCCAAATCCTCCTCTGCTCCATCATTTATTTACTAGTCACTTGGTCTTGCCAAGTAAGTCACGGCTGTGTGTCTCAGTTTTGTCATCTGGCAAAGAGGCAGAGTCACAGCTCCCTCTCAGAGCCAGTGAGAGGAGGAAACGGATCAGCTCCATCCATGCTTGACAGCAGCAGGCACGTGGTGAGCACAGAATGTGAGCGGTAACTGTCATCATCAACAGAGCGGCCAACCCTCTGCCAGCTCCGGCCCAGCCCTGCCTGCTGCTGGATGGGTCTCCTTTGAGCCTCCCAGCCCAGTCATGGAGGCTTTCCTATCATTTCCACTTTGCAGATGAGCAAACTGTGCCTCAGAGAACTTCAGGGATTGCCAGGGTTTCCCAGGCACAGAGTGACGACGCCGGGATTCAAACTGGGTCTCTGGTCCCAAAGACAACCCACAGCCTCAAGCTGCCTCCACCTTCTGTGCCTCTCCCCATGATTAGGCTGAGACCCAAAGGGCTTCAGGTGGCCTCTCTCTGTCTGTCAGGACCAGGAGGACAATCAGCTGCCGCTGTCCCACCGGTGCCCACATCTCACCATCAGGGCTGGTGCCCCTGCCAGGTTGCCGCCGATCGCGGTGAAGTTAAAGGGCGAGATGGCTGCCACAAAGCCCTGGGGAAGGAGGCATTGGTGAGGTCAAGCCCGTGGCATTGGGCTGCCCTGCCTGCCCACCCATCGCCTCTTGCAGGTACCTCCAGCCCCCGGTAGACTGTGCTGTTGGTGCTCGGGGGCATGCTGAGGGGCTGTTCCCCCTCCAGCTCCACTGCAAACTTGGCATTGAACCGGAAGAAGTCGATGAGTTCCGCTGCAGCGTCAATCTCCGCCTGGATCACGGTCTTACCCTGCACGAGAGGGGCCAGGGTTCAGGAACAGCCAGCAGCCTCCCGTCCATCCTCTTCCCACATCTGACCCTGTGCCCAGAGCAAGCACTGAGCCAGGCCCCAGCAGGGACTAGGAAAGTTTTGCAGGGCTGACCAGGTCCCGTCCCAGGGGCTGAGGGGGAAAGGATTCTCAACCCCCTGAGCCGGCACTTCCTCCTGTAGCCTGCGCTTAGGGCTGGACGGGGATCGACAGAATGTACCGGTCCTCTGCAGCAGGCCAGGTATTTCCCATGCACTGTCTTCGCTTCATCGCAGCTCTGAACAGTGGTGCAGGGGAAAGGATCTATGATCAAGCCTCAGACCAAATTCAGGATCAGAGCCTTCCAGGCAGAAAGGCAGACTAGCATGAGCAGGAGTCTGGCCGCTGACCAGGACAGAGACTCAGAGTGTGGGAAGCAGACAGCTCCTTCCCCAGGAACGATGTTCGGCCTTGCTGGTTAGTTTGGGTCAAAAACCAAGAGGCAGGTGACTGTGATTCCCTTAAACCACCCATTCTTACTGACAGCAAATGTGAGCTACAGCGAAAAAAACCATGGACAGCCAAGGACACGGATTTTCCAGATTGAGGCGGCCCCCCACTTGGCACCAAAGGTCACTGGCAGGTGCACGACCTACTAGAGACACACAGCCCAGGAAGCTGAGCTAAGATATGTACCATGCTTCCTGGAAGTTTTTGAGTCTTAGCCCAAATACAGAGAGAGCCTAAACTGGTCCTACAGTGTCTGAGTGTCTTCTCACCCATGTGCGGCTGAGCACGCAGAGCCGGAACACGCAGAGCCGGACACGCACTTCAGAGGGCTGCTGAGCCGATCTAAGGAGGCATTCAGCAGAATGAGGGGCTGTCATACCAGCTCTGTGCAGCAGAGCGGGTGCTCACCACAGGGACCTGAGGGCGGGCAGTGGCAAATGCCTGACACAAAAAGCAGCCTAGGTTCTGGCTCCTGCAATTGACCCTTGAGGAACTCAGGTTAGCTGGCAGCATAGGGCTTACGTCCTGGAGGTAGTAAAACAACTCTATCTCCCTCAGCTCCTGTCCCCCTTGCACTCTGCCTGCTAGAGTGACTCCTCACTTCACTTGCATTTAGCGGGGTGGGGAGCTGTCATACCGGCTCTGTGCAGAGAAAACCATTTATCAGAGACTTGCTATGACTCCTGTAAGGGATCATGCAAAGCCCAAGAAATGACTGAGAATGTTGGCTGGGCGCGGTCGCTCACCCCTGCAAGGCAGGCGGATCATGAGGTCAGGAGTTCGAGGGCAGCCTGGCCAACATGGTGAAACTCTGTCTCTACTGAAAATACAAAAAGCAGTCAGGCGTGGCGGCACACACCTGTAATCCCAGCTACTCGGGAGGCTGAGGCAGGAGAATCGATTGCATCTGGGAGGCAGAGTTTTGCAATGAGCCGAGATCACGCCGCTGCACTCCAGCCTGAGTGACAAAGTGAAACTCTGTCCCAAAAGAAAAAACGACTGAGAGTGTCAAGACATGATTACTATGTCCAAGAAGCTTGTAAAGGGGCAGTACCTAGGAACTGAATACACCCCAGTGCAATCTGAGCTGTAACTGATGCAGAAACAACATGCTTTGGGGAAACAGGCAGGACCAGTCCTTTCGGCTAGAGGAGGCTCAGTGGGGGCACATCTGGCCTGACCAGGAGAGAAGAGTTCACCGAGCACGGAAGACACAGCAAGCATTCCAGGCAGGAGGACACAGCGGGCAGAGGCAGTGAGGAGCCTGCCATGGCCAGGGAGTCCTGCTAAGTCCAAAATGGCTACAGCATGGGCGGGACACCTTGGCAGGGACAGGCAGAGCAGCTGGCAAGCTGGACAGACGTCGGCAGAAGGGCCCTGGGTATGGGGCTAAGATCTTGGGACTTGCCTCTCAGTGGTGGAGAGGTCTGGGTGGGTTGTAAGCCAGGAGTAACATCCTGGAGGTGTTGAAAAGACCACTCTGAGGCCACAGGGGGCTGACCAAGCTGGGAGCCACGGAGACAGTGCAGGTGCCTAACAGTCCAGGCAAAGCATGGCGAAGGCCTAGGAGCGAGGGCCAAGGGATGGAGGAGAGGGGACATTTCCAAGGCAGGCCACGCGGGCTCTGCACAATCTGTCTCACCTAATGATTGGTGATCACCCATCCCAGTTCCTAGGCCTTGTCCCTTGAGGACATCTCTGGGTCCCCGACAGGGCTTGGTACCCAGAAGTGCTTCAGCTGATGTCAGCTGCCATGGATGGAGTCTGATTGACTCCCACCCCACCCCACCCACCCGGGCCTCACCTGTCCCACCATGGTCTTGGCCAGGATCTCGGCTCTGCGCGGCCCACTCAGCAGGTCTGCCGCCTTCAGGAAGATCTGGGCCCGGTCTGCGACAGGCTTCAGGTCCCACTCTTTCCGGGCAGCCAAGGCAGCCTCGATGGCTTTGTTGAGCAGACCCTAAAGGGCGAGGGAGAGGTTGGGGCTGCCGCCTGCAGTGGGAAGGGCCCTGGGGAGTGAGTGAGGGAGGAGAGACCTGGAAGGCCACTCTCTTCCACCTGGGGACAATGCCTGTCTCCCTGGGCCCTCAGCTCCCTGGGCCCTCAGCCCACTGCCACCACAGTTGCCAACACGGTGTCCCCTCAGAGCCTGTCCTACTGCCAGTCTGAAGCCCGAAGGGCCCTGCCAGGTTGGTTGGCTCTCCAAGGTCTTGGCACTGAGCCCCGCGGCTGTTACACTGGCTCCACTTTCTCTTGTGATCTTACCTTATTCTTGGGACCTGGTGCCCCTAAACCCACCATCCAGAAACTTGAGGTCAACAGGAGCCCAAGACACGGCTCTACTGCTGGCCTCCCAGACCCCAGTGCCCTCATCACCACAGAGTGCCAGCTCCCAGACCTCCAGCCCCCCACAGCACCTCCAGCCCCTCCTGCTGGCCCTTTCCAGTGCCAATTCTCTGTCTGGCTTTCCATCGATGGTGTCTCCAATTGCCCTGACTCAGCCTTCCAGAATCCACTCCTCCCCAATCCAAGGTCTGCCCCACCACAATGGGCATGTCAGGGAATGTGTCAGCCCTGGCGGAGGCAGGGTGCACTTGGCTCAAGTTAACCTTTGCATGCCTAGCCCAGTCAAGGTCATCACCCAGGGACTCCCTCAGGGCCGGCCACCCCCTGTCCCCCTACCCACCATGGCCAAAGAAGGACACAGCGACAGATGCCCAGCCCCTATCAGCAGCTGGCAGGGTAGGGCAGGGTAGGGGCAGCAACCCCAACCACCGGGTCATCAGGGGCTCACTCACCTTGTCTGCATAACAGAACTTGGCCACCTTGTGTCCATGGTTAAAAGGCTGAAAGGAAAGAATAGTGAGGTCCCTGCCCAGGAGGGAGGAGCCAGGATAAAGATGGAGAGGGCCGGGCTCGGAGCTGGTTTTCCAGGAAAGTCCTGGACATACCTCTCTCCCCAACTGCTCCAATGAGGCCCTCACCAGCACCTGGCCCACAGGTTGCTCCCTGTTCAGGGTGCTGGTGTACCCGCTGTACCATGAGTGAGACATAGCTCCTTCTCCAGAAGGTCCAGGATAAAGGCATAGACCATAGGTTCTTTCAAGGAAAACACAGGCCTTTGTGGTCAGAGGCATGAGTTCAAATCCTGGGTCTGCCACCTACTAGCTGTGGGGCCCCACGTCAACTCACTTCCTTCCCCAAGTCTCCTCATCTAGGAAATGGGGACTGCCCTCCCTCTCTCTTAGCACAGACAGGAGAACCAAAGCAGATCACGAGTGAAAATGTTTTGGTCCAGCATGAGGCTACAACCATGGGCACGTTCACCATGTGAGGCCCAAAGGAATGCGCCGGTGTTGCGAAATGCCCAGGACTTCTGCCCTGCCCCGAAGCCATTACGGACAGACCAATTGCTTCCTGAGCCCCAGATTTACTTATCTAAATGGGAAGATCCTCAGTAAACTTTTACAAACAGAACCTGGTATTGGTCCAAACTGTACCATGTTGTAAGCTCCCCACTATTTTGTAGACCTTGGTGGAAGTGAAACATTTCACGGGAACTCAGGCCATGAGAAACAGCCTGCCTAGCCACCCTACCACAAGGCAGACAAATGCCCACCTAAAGAAACATCCTGGCTGGGCACAGTGGCTCAGGCCTGTAATCCCAACACCTTGGGAGGCCAAGGCAGGTGTATCACCTGAGGACTGAGGCCAGGAGATCAAGACCATCCTGGACAACATGGTGAAAACCTATCTCTACTAAAAATAAAAAATTAGCCAGGTGTGGTAGCACGCGCCTGTGGTCCCAGCTAATCGGGAGGCTGAGTCAGGAGAATCGCTTGAACCTGGGAGGCAGAGGTTGCAGTGAGCCAAGATAGCGTCACTGCACTCCAGCCTGGGCAACACCAGCGAAAATCCGTCTCAAATTAAAAAAAAAAAAAAGGCAACATCCCTATTATATCTTGCTGGGAAAAGGTCCAAGGAATACCATAATGACATCCCACTGGAGAAGGGACCAAACCACCTGATCATAAGAACATCTTATCAATATCCTGCCAGCCAGCAAGCCATACTACCCACACCAGACCCCTCCTGCCCACACCTGTAAGTACCCCAGCCTGTAAGCAGCGGAGGGCTCTGGTATGAAGCTGGCCCCCCACATCCGCAGGTTTCTGCACTATACCTGCATTGCTGTTTCAGCCGCTCTCTCTCTCTGTGTCCTTCTTGAATCCTCGCCTTCCCTTCGAAACCTAACGCCTGGCAGTGGTGAAGCTAGCATGACCAATGAAGCAGGGAGGAATTTCACTTCTTTCCTTCCCAAGGCTGGTAACACGGTTTCCATCCTAACGGCTAACACTTTTGCCACCTATTCGTCTTCCAGTGGGTTATTGGAGCTTTCCTGTCTAACACAGTAGCCACAAGCCACATTTCACGTGCTGACAACCACATGTGGCTGGTGGCCTCTGGAACGGACAATGCAGATCTGGAACATTTCCATCATCACTGGAGGAAATTCCACTGGCTAGCGCTGCTCTAGACTTGGGTAGAAAGTGGCCACTCCCCTTCATGTCAAACCTTGGCATAATCACCCTGTATTCTGCTCATACCTGAGATTGGCCTGTGATGCTCAGGGGCCCCAGTGGACTGCAGATAACTCCTCATCAGTGCTATGTCCCAGCAAACGTAGATCCTGCCCTCACATATCTGGTACCACAGTGATCAGCACATGGCCAGAACCTCCAGCCAGGTCGGCGAGGCAGTGTGGGAAATGAAAATCAGTAGTATCCACCCAGGGGCTTGTCAGAATGCCAGAGGAAAAAGCCCAGCTGCCATGCAGCCTCAGAGGCCTGGGAGGCTGCAGGTGAGGGCAGGCTCTAGGAAGTCACACAGACCACCAGCGAGTGGGGTGGTGGCAGCTGCTGTCAGTTGGCACCTGCACACACACCCAGTGCAACAGAGTGACCTGACCAGTGCCTGTAGATCCCAGGCCATGCTTAGACAGTTCCAGGAAGTCCCGACCCAGCAACAAGAGTTCCAGGACACCTCTGTGCTCAACTCCTGCCCCAGGCTGCCCTGGGAACCTTCCGAGTAGGGGGCTGGGTCCCCAGCCTCAGCAACCCCTCTCTCTGCACACACCTGCCCAGGGTTCCAGCCGGACAGAGCCCAAATGTGCTTGCCCTGTTTGCAAAAGGGCCAATCTTTTACTCTCCCCCAAATCACAGACCTATGAGTTTCTGGCCCATGTAAAATGTACACCAGCTTCTAAACAGATAAACTCCCAGCAGAGGGCTTCTGAGGCCAATGTCATCTGAGGAGCTCGGGGCCTGGGACTCAGCTTTTTGCCATTAGCTCCCAAACCCCCTTGGCAAGAAATCTATGAGGAATAATGGAAGATGCTATGTGAACCCCTCATGGTCTTCCTGGCCCAAGCACAGGACTCCACTATGGGCTGGGTGCAGTGTGGGTGCCATTCTTTGCTTTGGGAAGTTTTACTGGTCTACAGAATTCAAAATCTAGGGTGGGGAGGGGTACTCTAATGGCCCTGAAGTCAGAACTCACACATTCTAAGCTTATGAGCCGTCAGAGAAAGAGGTCACATATTCGGGGGAGGGGCTGAGCCCTGCCCGCCCGCTGGACATACCGACACCTGGTACTGCACGTCCGACGTCCACACCTCCTCATCCCCCACTACGCATGGGATGGCTTCCGTCCGGCCTTTCAGGTCCTTCAAGGCCTGGGGAGAGGGACAAGAGCGGGTATGGTCATCGCCTTCCTCCCTTCCTCCCATCTAAAACCCTAATGCAGAGTCCGCAGGCAGAGATGCCTAGGCAGACACAGAAATGAGAAGGGGGCCAGGCTGAGTCTGTGGCCACCAGAGAGTGTGTGCTCCCCTCAGAGGGCAGCAGGACTCTGCTCCAGCCACTGTCACCCTGCAGGAAAGTGAAGTCTACCCGTTACACAGATATTTTAAAAACTGCATCTGAAACTTATGTGAAATCTCATGATCTTTAAAATTCTGGCAATTAGGCTGGGCAGGGTGGCTCACGCCTGTAATATCAGCACTTTGGGAGGCTGAGTCAGGTGGATCACCTGCGGTCGGGAGTTCGAGATATGGCGAAATCCCGTTTCTACTAAAAAAGTACAAAAATTAGTCAGGCATGGTGGTGGGTGCCTGTAATTCCAGCTGCACAGGAGGCTAAGGCAACAGAACAGCTTGAACCCAGTAGGCAGAGGTTGTAGTGAGCTGAGATGACACCACTGCATTCCAGCCTGGGTGACAAGAGCAAGACTCTGTCTCAAAAAAAAAAAAAAAAATGCTGGCAATTAACTGGAAAACATCTTTAAGTAGAAAACATATGACATGTGACCTGGTCTGAGAAGCCCCAAAGTAGCTCCAGGCTGCCACCCTGCTCCTCCCAGCTGTCTCCACACTCCAGACCCACAGCCCTCCCAGGCTTCCCCTCAAGGCTGGGAGCAAGGGTAGAAGTGGGTGCTGGCTACAGGCGTGGAGAGCTATCTCAAGGCTGCTGGGGTGGCCTCTGCTCCACGCCCTGCACCTCTCGGGTGCCCCCCACCCTCCCGTTACCTTTTGCAGTGCATCTCGCTCAGGGCTGCCCTTCGTGAAGGCTAAGATGGGCTCGTTGGCCACTTTCAGGGAAGAGATGTGCTTCCGCCGCAGCCTGGGACACAAGGGCAGGGGACAGAGGCAGAGAGGTCAGCAGCAGCCCCACCACCAGACCCCAGCCCCTCTGCCTCCAACAGCGGGTCCCAGTTGGGCGCCCAGAGCCTGGAATCTAATGCAACTAGAAAGTGGGGGTCTAAAACCCACCTTGGGCTGGGCGTGGTTGCTCACGCGTATAATCCCAGCACTTTGGGAGGCCAAAGCTGGCAAATCACTTGAGGTCAGGAGTTCGAGACCAGCCTGGCCAACAGGGTAAAATCTCCTCTCTATTAAAAATATTTCAAACATTAGCTAGGTATGGTAGCATGTGCCTGTTGTCCCAGCTACTCAGGAGGTTGAGGCAGGAGAATCGCTTGAACGCAGGAGGCGGAGGTTGCAGTGAACCGAGATTGTGCCACTGCACTCCAGCCAGGGTGACAGAGCGAAAAACTCCATCTCAAAACAACACAATAAAAACCCACCTTGGGGTCCACAACCCAAGGTTCAAGTCCCAGTCCCGCGATTTGTGTCCTTGGGCCTGTGACTTGCCTCCTCTGAGCATGTTTCTACATCTACCGAGTAAGAAAAATCACACCGAACTCACGTGATTGAAGTTTAAACACACAGATGCAAAAACATGTTTAAGTATTATGCACATGCAGAGCGTTACTCTCCCTTTCTTCCCCCACAAGACAGCCTTTATCCCAAACAGACCCAAGTTCCTTCTCTCTCTAAGCTGAAAAGGCAGCACATTCCAGAGCACCATCTCCTCAGAATGCAAACCAGCTGAGATCCCCTTGGCACAAAGGGCTGAGAGCTCCGGGTGGGCAGGAATGTCCAAGATGTGGACCAAGAACTTGGAGGGCTGCCCTGAGCTCAGCTCACAGCACCAGGACTGGCCCTGGGGGCGAGGGGCCTGATTCCAGCACACTGAGTCTCCAGAACTCCTTGCTCAAATCCTCTAACCTCATTGACTAGTGATCCCCACCCCCTACCACATCTGAGGGTCACAAGTTTGGAGGTCAGGTGGCTCAAAGCCAGGACACTGGGGTCAGTCATTCCAGAGCTGGAGCCTCAGCTCTGCCACCTCCCAGCTGTGCGACTTCCTCTTCAGGCCCGTTTCCCCCTCTATAAATGAGAATAATATGATAACAGAGCATTATGCCCCACAGGGCACTTGAAATTGACAAACTTCCCATCTACCATGGCATAGGATGGGCCTCACCAGCCACGTCTCTAGAGAAATAAGATCATGTAGGTTCTAAAAGGAAAATGACTAGTTCAAGATCAAGAGTAGGAGAAACCTGCGCTTGAGTCCAGAAGGCTCAGACAGCATCTCTTTCTGGTGTCAATGGCCCCAGACAACCGGGAACAGCTGGAGGTACACAGGTGGGGTTCACTGGTCAGCGCAGTGGGGGAAAACACACAGCATGAGGAACCACAGGACATCTCGGTAGGATGCTGTTAGGAAACCTGATAGGATGTGAGCTTTGGCGGGGTGACTTGGGGAGGGTTTAGGGAAGCCAGGGTTCGCTCTGGATTGGCTGCTTTCAGAAAGTGGGGGTGAGGCTGACTGGGAAAAAAGTAACATTGAGCAAGATGCCTGGTGTTTGTGGGCAGCACAGAGACCTTGTTTTTGTCCACGCTTAGACAAAAATCATGAAGAAGAGGCTGGGCACGGTGGCTCACGCCTGTAATCCCAGAACTGGGTAGTCAAGGCAGTCAGATCACTTGAGGTCAGGAGTTCGAGACCAGCTGGGCCAATATGGTGAAACGCTGTCTCTACTAAAAATACAAACAATAGCTGGGTGTGGTGGCGCACTCCTATACTCCCGGCTACTTAGGAGGCTGAGACAGGAGAATTGCTTGAACCCAGGAGAAGGAGATTGCAGTGAGCTGAGACCATGCCACTGCACTCCAGCCTAGATGACAGAGTGTGACTCCATCTCAAAGAAAAAAAAATTCAGGAAGAGGGTTTGTTGTGTCTCATCTGATCATGGTCTCAGAGGAGCGTGGCCTGAGGCTGGCATTCTGAGGTTGCTTTATGCCCTATGGGAGGCAGAGCAGAGTCTGGGGCTGAAAGACACGGCCTGGGAGGACTGGAGGATATAAAACTGAAGTGGTGTGAGCAGGTCCTTTGTTCATTCAACAAGGTTGACTGAGGACCTGCCAGGTCTCTGGTGCCGTCTCAGACCCTGGAGATGAAGAGTGACAGAAAGAGCGAGGCCTCTGGCTGCAGGGAGGTGACCTTCAGTGAGGGCCCTGGTCAGGAAATAAGCGAGGTAACTGCAGATGGCGAGCATGGCAATGGGTAAAGAAGAGGGAGCAGGGGGCTGCTTCAGCCAGGGTGGCCAGAGAAGGCCTCTCTCAGGAGGTGACCCTGACACAGACCCAAAGGAGGCTTGAGAGGAGCTGGGAAGAGCATCCCAGCTAGAATGAGGCAGAAGGAGGGGACGAGGGGCCTGCATGGTTGAGGCAGTGGGAGAGGCAGGGGCAGGGGCTCGGCCATCAATATCCTGGCAGGAAAAGTGAGCACATAGGCCCTTCTCTCCCCTCCCCACCGACCTCCGCCCTGCACCCCCACGCCCACTCCACCTCCCACCAGCTGTGTGACCTCGTGCAAGTCACTTGTCATGAAGCCAGTTTCCCTCTGTAAAATGCTGACCCCCTCCTCATGTTTACTATGGAGATTTGATAACGACAAATAAATTAAAATCTTCACTGCCCTCTTGCACCTACTGTCACGGGGAGAATGGAGAGGCAGCCACGAGTCTCCACAGTCCTTCAGGAAGGGGCAAGGCAGTGTCAATCCCCTGGGACCATCTGGAAGCTTCTGATAGGGACCCCAGCTGGGATCCTGACCATGCATTCCAGCCACACTTCGGGGCCTCAGCAGCACCACACCCACCAAAGCTGGTGAGCCAGATATCACCATCACCATCAACACTTTCAGCCGAGAAGCTCGACTCTAAATAACTAATGAGTCTGTTCCAGCCCTGCCTGGGAGTCCGGGTCCTGTGGACAGAAAAAGCACAGACCTCAGAAGCAGACAAATCTGAAAACAAAGCTCACACCTGGCCCATGACCTCAGTGCACTCTTAGGAGTCTCTGTTTCCCCACCTGGAAAATGAGGATGGTACTATTGAAAAGAGAAGAATAGCTCAGAGCAGTGTGAGCGATGTGAAGTACGCAAAACATTTCAGGGCCAGGGAGGCAGGAATACTGGACCTGAGTCATGCCCTTTGCATGCAGGCCCGGTGGCAATTATTTCAAGGCATTTTGTTTCTGACTAGCTGCCTCATCCATTATCTTCATGATCCTGGAAAGTGTCACACAAAGAACAATGCAGGGCCATTCAGTAGCTTACGTGTTTTTTTTGAATCAGAGTCTCGCTCTGTCGCCCAGGCTGGAGTGCAGCGGTACAATCTCAGCTCACGGAAACCTCCGCCTCCCGGGTTCAAGTGATTCTCCTGCCTCAGCCTCTGGAGTAGCTGGGATTACAGGCATCCACCACCACGCCCAGCTCATTTTTGTATTTTTAGTAGAGATGGGGTTCGAACTCCAGACCTCGAGTGATCTACCTGCCTCAGCCTCCCAAAGTGCTGGGATTACAGGCATAAGCCACTGCGCCCAGCCAGTGGCTTAATTTAATATAAATTTTTGGTAAAAGACTTAGAAACTGCCTCTTTCCCCCTGCACCCAAGCCCAGTCACTGCAGCTAATCAAAGTGTATATTCAGGGTAACTTGCATCCATGCTCCCTGGTGGCCATCCTCAAGTTCTGAGCTCGAATAAACTCTATACTTAATCCTACTTTCTGAATCTCACTATTTAAGGTTGACATGGCGCACCTTGCAGGGTCATCAGGAGGATTAAACCTGTTGGCCTTTCCTCACCCCTCCTGCTCTCGCTTTCTGAAGAAACTTGTAAAGGTCTCAGAATGCTATTTCACTAGATCAGGCTTTCAAAGACAAATGGGGTCCAGATGCCCCCAAGAATCACAGAATCACAGCCTCAGGGGCTGGCCCAGGTACTCAGCAACTAGAGGAATACACAGCATCATAGTCCATCCCCAGATTAAAATGTAGTAGGCCGGATGTGGTGGTTCACACCTGTAATCCCAGCACTTTGGGAGGGCAAAGTGGGCAGATTGCTTGAGGTCAGGAGTTCGAAACCAGCCTGGCCAACATGGTGAAACCCTCTCTCTACTAAAAATACAAAAAAATTAGCTGGACTTGGTGGCATGCATCTGTACTCCCAGCTACTCAGGAGGCTGAGGCAGGAGAATCGCCTGAACCTGGGAGGTGGAGGTTGCAGTGAGCCCAGATCACGCCATTGCACTCCAGCCTTAGCAACAGAGCAAGACTCCGTCTCAAAAAAAAAAAAAAAAATGTAGTAGTGTCCAGTTCTCCTTTCTCTGTCCCCTCCCAGGAAACATCAGAGACAGAGATCCTGCAGGCCTCCCTCCCGCTTCCAAGGGGCAGATGCCCAGATGCCCACTGTGACCTCAGAATCACATGCCCCCATGGCTTTCTCTGTGCCTGGAAGTCTCCAAGCACTGGCCCAGCTGTCCGTCCAACAGTCTGAGTGTGGCATGGAGAACAGAAAATAGTTCAAAGTTCAGCCAGAGTCAAGTGCAGCTAAAAATAGCCTAGGGACTCCCATCAATGTTTCCTTTTTTCTTTCTTTCTTTTTTTTTTCTTTGTTCATGGATCATTTTGGACTAACAGGAGTCACTTCCACTGGCTGCTCAGGTGAAGACAGAGATGAATCATTCACAGAACTTAGGGCTTCTATGAGGATCTATGAGGACATTCTTGGCAGGATGGCACTCCTCATCCATTCATGCATTCATGCAGTCAGTACACATTTATCCCACATGGCAAGGATGCAGAGAGAAATCAGATCAGGTCAATAATAGCTCACTCATTTATTTAGCACACGTGTTCCAAGCACCCATGAAGTGCCTGGCTCTGGGAGGCAGATATGAATCCAACCCAACCTTCAGAGTAGCCCTCAG